AAAAGTGAACTGAACTTTGTCAGTACATAATAACAGTAAATCTCTAAGAAGTTTTACAGGTACACGTGATTGAAAATTGTTTACAGATATGTAATCACATAATATATCAATGGTTTTTTTCAAAGGTACATTTGTAAACAAGGAATTTACATCGAATGAACACATTGTCTTTTTCTTGATATTAATATCACCTAAATGATCAACCAGTTCAAAAGAATCCTTCAGAGAATACTTACATAGATGTCTTTGAATAGGGTCCAACAACTTTGCCAACCATTTACCCAGATTATATGTAGGTGATCTGCACATTGATAGAATTGGACGTAAAGGAACATTAGGTTTGTAAATTTTAGGTAGTCCATATGAATGAGGGTACTCGGAACCCATAGGTTTTAGAAAATTAAATTCCTCTTTATTAATAATATCCATGCGTAACAATTTTTCTAGGTTTGAATTTACTCTTCCTTCTAGTTTGCTAATACCTCCAAATTCAACATCAGGCATAAATTTACCTTCATCACTAAGGATGGATAAAATCTTACTTTTATATCCACATTTATTCATGATAACTACGCCTGACCCTTTATCAGGTTTTAACAATACAATATCAGAGTTTGTTCGTAGTTCTTTTAATGATTTAAAATGCTGAGAAGTTAATATGCTTCTCTGCTTCGGTCCAACATTATGAAATTGGTGTGCTATATCCACTAGTTTAGCTTTACACCAGCTTTGATTATTTTAAGACGTAGGGGTTAGAGTACTCAGTTGATCGTATAGATTTTCAAATTGGGCATTTATTTCCAATTCAGACATTTGCGTTATAGGGACTAAGAAATTAAAACCAAGAGAAAGTGCTTCCTTTTCATTAGCAGATAATACAATGGGAGATAAATTAGTGACATACTTTTCAGGATTTACTGGGAATAAATTAACTTGATTAGTAATAATACAAGATTTTTCAAGCTTTTTGCTGATCCTTTCTATTGTTTTCAAAATGATATTACTGCAAAAGTTGGTGAATTTAATATGGCAGACTAGAGATATTTCATTTAATATAGGCAATGCTTGAGCGTGTAATTCCATTAAATTGACCAGTTTGTTTTAGCACTTATCTACATATGATTTCGACAATTGAATAAGATTTGAAATATTTGGTTGTAATTTACTTGAACGTAAATTTTCGTATAGTTAATTTGGGAATATGTTGTAGATCACCAACGTAGATGATCTATGTCGAAATGATTGGAGGCCTACTCGAGTTAGACGTGAATAGTGTGACGAACCAACTAACATCGAAGTCACACCTCGTGGTCAGCACCTTACGTGGACTACCCCCATTGACGTAACAAGGTACTATAGATGCTTTGAAGACTGTACAACACAAAGGACGTTATTACAGAAATATATTAGTTAAGGTAGATGCAGGCGAAAGTAAGACCACTGCCGCATGGGCCAGTCCATGGCGTATATTAATTAATGCGCGTTGCTTGTTCATGACCTTGGCAGGGAGCGATGATCTGTTCGACATTCAGTGATCCAACTGTCGGATGATTTGGCTAGGGCTCAGTGACATTTCACTGGCCCTACAATACTCCCCCACCAGATTCAACGGCCGTTTGAATCGGTACCAAACATGTTGGGAGCAGTCGCGCGCCGGAGAGTGCCAAATGAATATTATAAATCCTCCAGGTATTGCTTATCTGTAAAACAAATGGAAAGGAGGCGGCAGAAACTGGTCGGGAAACAGCGAGTCATAATATGTTAGTAGGACGTTGCTTAAACGTAAATTGATTAACCATAGAAATAATGAAAAGAACAAAACGTTTTATTGTTCTATCAAGTCGTGCTGAAATATATAGCCTTGACAAGTAATTCGGTTCCTCCGATGACAAACGTTAAGTCTGCCGCAAGAGTAATGATGCTATAGCGATAGTAGGATAAGTGTATTATCAATCGATGTCCATATTTGTATTGTCATTAGTTTAAAGTTGTAAGTCGGACAGTGTCGTTGACAGCTATTAATTAGTGTCGAATTCTAGTTATATCTATATCTAACAGACTAACCGTAAGTACAGAAGTATAACAGTGAAGAGTGGTCGTGATTTCGTTGTGCGAAGCTATTGACTAACTTGTAGTCACAGTTTGAAAAGTCGATGACTGCTGTTACAGTCAGTAAGGGTTGAAGGCTACAAATCGACAGCAAAAGGTGGCACGATGAAGTCTCTAAAAGATGATAAACGGTGAATGCTGCGTGTTTGTTCGGTTAGTGAACAGAAAAATATCGAAAAGAACATAAGAAACCAAGAGTGTCACTCTGGACTCATGTCAATGATACCCGTGAAAAAACGCTGTCAGTGTTGGGATAGAGGCGACAATATCGTTTTCAGTTTGCAGGAGATTCGCTCGACTGCATAAACTGATGATTCACGCGAATGATATTGTCGTCAAACCACCAATTGTACTGGACAGGTTGTAAATCGTCGAGTAGTTGAACAGCCGATTGATGTACCGGAATCATCTGTTAAATAACAGCCACGAGGAAACAATACTTCATAAAATGAAGTACGACATCGAAGTAGAACAACTACAATAGTTCAGATGTGTTACAATGTCAAGTCTAAATAACATCGTTCTTACGTATACTGACAGTTGCACTGAACGTTCGCTTAGGTATGATTAGCGTAACAGTTGGATGTGTGAATAAAAACATATACGAAAACTATGGTTGGGTTCGTGGAGAATTTTCGAGGACGTTTAAATATTTTCCAAACCCGTATCGCATGTAAATAAACCGAAAATAGAATTAAAATGACTGTCGTGTAATAAGGAAATGGAGCCATAATTTACCGTGTGAATTAATAGCGAATACAAGGGGTATAATAAACATTAATTAAAATGGTAACCACCAATGTAACTAAGGTTTAGAGGATCCAGGTAACGTGGCCATTTCGTAAAAGGCTGATACAAAGAGCTTATTACCTAGCGTTAAGTGACATATTAAGTACGACAACGTGTGTACTTGGGAATGGACTAAGCGTGCTCGTGTACATGCAATATGTTTTACCAAAGTATGTCGACTAACGAGTCATAAATGTACATGATTTCGACTAAAACTTGACGGCAGTGACAGAATATATGACTAGTTTACGTGAAAGCAACTACGAAATGTTATCACGCATCATAAATATAGTACGAAATAATCTAATGAAATTATGAAACTCGCCTGGGTTACTCTTGCCTCTAAGTAATGAAGATATGAAGTAGGCAGTAGTTTGAATCTGGATTATGTACGAGGTACTGTTGATTAAATTTTTCGATTAACACAGAGTTGTAGACTGACGAACAGTCTAAACGAGATCTAAGATCGCAGGAAATTTATAGTTCAAACTCACCGTGAATTTCTAGCATTCGTATCCTCTGTTTGGCCATGGAACTCAGCAATTGGAAATTAGGCAGGCAGTGGTAAAAAAAATAGCAGAACATTCTAGTGGATAGTGGTTAAGCAGAAAGATGAATTTATAGTCGATAGTTAATCTTGTCTTATTTATACCAGTGGACAAGGTACAAAGAGATATGCGTTCGTGTTGCCTTGTGGCTATACTCACGAGTGGTTGATATTTTAACAGACATATTACACAGGAGCATTTACATGCTGCTAATGCTTGTTAAAGAACCACGATAGCCGATTATAATCGTAGTTGATTGGTTAGTTCTGTCGATTGAACGAATTATCTAGGTTTAAATGCTAATCAACATTGACATGAAGCAACGAAAGTTCACAGTAACAGATTAACATAGGCGATGATAAAAATGAAAAAGAATAAGTATAGAATACAATAATAAAGATTATAGTGATAGGTTGCGTTATTCGAAGTCTTGCTCACCAGTGTAGATCACCAACGTAGATGATCTATGTCGAAATGATTGGAGGCCTACTCGAGTTAGACGTGAATAGTGTGACGAACCAACTAACATCGAAGTCACACCTCGTGGTCAGCACCTTACGTGGACTACCCCCATTGACGTAACAAGGTACTATAGATGCTTTGAAGACTGTACAACACAAAGGACGTTATTACAGAAATATATTAGTTAAGGTAGATGCAGGCGAAAGTAAGACCACTGCCGCATGGGCCAGTCCATGGCGTATATTAATTAATGCGCGTTGCTTGTTCATGACCTTGGCAGGGAGCGATGATCTGTTCGACATTCAGTGATCCAACTGCCGGATGATTTGGCTAGGGCTCAGTGACATTTCACTGGCCCTACAATGTGACTCGACATACAAGATTTATAGAAGTTCAGTTTCACGCGTTCCGATACAATTTTGAAAAATATGCGGAAATTATTTGATATTGAGGATGTTCGCTCTGGAATTGTTGAATTACTGAATGTAAAAGATATAAAACAGTCTAACGTTACTGTAACAGCATAAGTGGTATGGTTAAGAGTTTGCTTAGAACGTATGATTAATACTTCGTGGAGGCATGGTATTTCTTGCTATTCTATGCTGAACGTTGATAGATGTGTGTTCTAAAAAGAAAACTTCACGATAGCACCGTTCTGCGCTACAATCTTCAGGCTCTTATTATACATAAGCGAGTGTTAAATGTCATGATTATTAAGAACTGTATATACTGTAAAAGGCTTTACATATGTGTTCTATGTGAGTGTTGGTTCTGATAAGCACTAATCATAAAAGGGGTTTTTCAGATTTCCTGATAACTTTAATCCATATCGGAACCCAATTGTCGCTTTAAGTAGGAGGTGTGATATTGCCCTGTTATTGTTTATATAAAGCCAAATTTTAATGTGAATTAAACCTCTTTCACGAACGTGCTTTGCTGAAAGGTGAGAGAATTAAAAATATACTAGCAATAATGTCAGTCCGTAATATGGGTAAACGTTTTGTAATATATCTTAAGTTTGACAGTAACAAAATAAAAATGTTTACAACCATCATTTAGTTTAAGTGTTCATCATTTTACCTCTGCCCGCTTCTGGCGGTCACTGTGACTTTTGACTTTGGCGGGTTTTCGCCTTTTTTTGTTGATGTTGATTAGCTAGTATGTTACTTTCTGAATCCAGAGCCAATCTTTTCGACTCTTTCAAAGCTGATTCTCCAGATGATGAGTTCAGCAAACCGAAAAGATGTTTGAAGTCGGGATCAAGCCCTCATAAGTCATTGAATATGATTATTTTGGAAGGTATATATTTTGTACTTTTCTCTACTGTTTTGTCTTATCATCAGATTTTTTGACCTTTTTATAAAATGTGGTTCATGTTTTGAATGCCTTTTAATGTGTTCAATCCCGGTTGATTTGGTATTTCTGACAATATGTTATATCCTCTGAAATACATGTCTTACCCATGTTTTGTAACAACGCAAGTAAAAACCTTCTTCTTAGCGTTTTTTGAAAGGACTTTTGAATAGAGGGGAAGTGGATCTTGACACTGAGTTATTATTTTGTAACGATAGCATCATCCTTTGAGTGTTAAACGTTTTTTTACGCGACTTTCATGGTAGATTATAAATTTGTAGTTGTTCACCGATTTTCGAGAGACAGCATTGCCTATAGACAGTATTGAAGTTGATAGAGGTACAATCACTTAAGGTAAGATTTGCCATTCCAGTCAAGCTGGGTTTCAAATTTATTTACTAAGTTATCTCGATCCCTTTAAGCTTACATATAGCCGTCAGTGGTCAGTCAGTCAACAACGTAAAACTTCGTATGTGCGTATATCAGTTCGAGTTGCCGTATCACGTCAGCACAGAGATACAATTGTCGATTCAAATCCCATAGTGACAGGTAGCAAGAGTATAAGCAGTAATCGGAAAGATTAGGGTTTAAAGATGTTATTCAAGGAGTTTAATCCAGTGAAACAAATTTGGAAAGAAAATAAGGAACATGAAGAATTCAAAAGATTAGAATTTGGGAGAACACAAAGAGTGGATGCACCTACGTCTCTAACCATCGGTCGCTATGATCTCGCGGATCCCAACCAGGTAGTCTACACCTACCAACATGGCTCGGTCCACTTGTTACTGACTTCATGGATTTTTGCCATGTTTTGGTCTGGCCACCCCTAGCTTTCTTCCAACCTACTACACCATAAAACACCGCACGTTGGGGCAGTCGGTGTTTGGGCGTAGGTAACGTGTCGTAAGTGGAGTTCAAGCCCATTCTAAACTCCCACCATCGTTTTTTTGTAACTATGTATCTTGTGTGCATGCGCAGTTTTTAACTGCGTCAACTTCGTCAAGTCACAACGTCTTTCATAACCTGTCTATATTATATTGCTGCTCAGATTTCTGTAATGAAAATGCGATCGTAGTGGCTTTTTTTCCTTAAATGTTTCCAAATGAGTGAATTTTTTTCTCTCACCCTTGTGATGCAGAGGAAGTTGTTTTTGAGGTTAAGAGCCAATATTGTGCTCCCACAACGCTAAACATCTTTAATATTACCCCACTCCAAGCACACTGCTCGACAACCTGTCCGTCATAATTTGATTTTGTCTACCGTATAAAGGGCAAAGTTTCAATTATTAGTGTGCATCGAAGTTCAGATGATAGTAAGTGGTACTTGTTAGGTAATCATCTCACATTCCTTCAATTACAGTCTTATCTAAAGGATGTTTATTGTGCCATTTTAAGTCCCCGACCGTTGCTATCTTAACGTGGTGATCGGGCTTGCGTATCGTGTTGAAGCAACCGAGCTATACTGGCTAAAACAACTGTTCCTCAAGGTCCTACCACGTCAAAAAGGTCGGTTGAAGAGCGGTAAGACTAAAAGCAACAAACCCAAGGTCCGAAGGCGAAGTCGTACTGCTGACTGTACAGAGGTGTGACAGCAGTAAGGTTTTTCCTCCAGACAACCAGCATGATAGCGATGCTGCCTTGCCACAGGGAGGCGTGGGGTTAGAAAAGGTTGACCCTAGAAATACACACCTCGCCTTATCCCACGGATATCCGTCTCCGTCGGTAAGGTCTCAACAAGTACGAAGCTAACACAAAAATTACCCACAAAAGGTGTGTGACCGACCTCAAGCAGTTGTCCCTTGGGCACTGTGGTCACGCTCTCAGGTCACTAAGAAGACCTCTAATCCAATTTCTTTTTCAGGTACGTCCAGAAGAACCCTTCCAACGTGTGGGCAGCCGGGAAGTGATAACCGCCCTCATACCTATAACAGCACTCAAGACCACTGTATTAATAATCATTTTAAGTCACTAGTGGCTAAAGTAAACTAACGTTGTTCGTTTCTAGATAATTTTCAATCCAATGTGCTCAGCAGGGGTGGATTCGGAGTTCGTCTATATATATAGTCATCAGAAGGCAGTAATCAGCACTTTGCTGCAACAGGCTAGATTTGCGTCCGTATATAGACATTATAGAAATGATGCTAACATTCCTTACCATTCATATTCATGTTTGCTGTCTGTCCGAGACCCGTATTCAAGACTCTGGTGAAGTACTACAAATTTGCTCTCCATTTGTTGCTTCAAAAACCTTATTTTACGTGCGCTTATCTGGGGACCCTGTGGCATCTTCGTCTGGTCTTGCTGGCGTTGGTGTCGCACTAAGCGCTAGAGCTGAGGCAGCACTAATCGATTGGATTCCCTTTAACAGTCGGTTATGTGCTGTTAGATTAGAAAGTTCCATCAAAGTGAGAAAAAATCGGAGTGAGAAACGATGTCTTTTCGTCATCTCAGCCTATGCCCCGACAGATTGCAGCCCGGATGCAATCAAGGATGAATTCTGCCACCAGTTAACTGTTCTTCTCCAGGAAGTGCGTTCGAAAGATATTACAGTACTAGCCGGAGACTTGAATGCTCAGGTCGGGCGTCTAGGCACAGAAGAGAGTCGTTTAGGTGGCCGATGGGAACTCGTTGGTCGCAGGTCAGATAACGGGGACCGTCTACTGCAACTTTGCACAGACCACCTGTTTCTGGCTAGCACTAACTTTCGGCACAGTCATCGCCGATGTGCCACCTGGCATCCTTCCTCTGCATCTCAAGCCTGGACTCAGATTGATCACATCGCGACCAGCTATTGCTGGCGTGGTTGTGTACAAGACTGCCGCTCATTTTGGAGTACCTATCCGGACTCTGATCATGCCTTGGTCTGCGCCAATCTTACCTTACTTTTCAGTGGCCAACGAAGTGACCGTCACCAACGGATTGATGTTAGCAAGTTGGTTGCAACTTCAGTTGCTAGTACGTATCGAACCGAGCTAGCTTCTAGGCTAGCTACCATTCCACCAAAAAGTATAGATGAGCATTGGTTGCAATTGCATGACGCCATGAAAATGGCGGGAACAGTCAGTTGTGGGTTCGCGAAACGTCCCGCTTATAAGCACTGGGTTTCTTCAGGCTCCTCACAACTCATTGAAGCTCGTCGGTCTATTCCGGGTGACCGTGAGTTTGACCACAAACGAAGGATGTTACGTAATGAAATTGGGCAAAGTTCGCGTAAGGACCGAGAAGCCTGGTGGTCGGAGCGTGCTAATGAGCTGGAAACAGCGGCTGCATCTGGTAACTACCGGAAGCTCTTCCAACTCATCCGGGCCACTGGAAGCAAAAGGTCTGGTGTGAGCAAAACAATCTGCGAGGATGACGGAATGCCAATCACTAACATCCATCGACGTCTTGGACGATGGACAGAATTCTTCGAAGGGCAGTTCAACTTACCTGCTGCTCCGGCAACATCGGTCGAACTGTCCTGCCTTCCATGACCGGTGACGACTGATCCACCAAATGAGGCGGGAGTCCGCAAGGAACTCCAACTCTTGAAAAGTTCGTGTATCTAAGTAGCTGCATAAGTGCTGGTGGGGGTGTGAGTGATGAGATCAATGCACGTATAGTGAAAGCCGGAGGGACTTATGCCAATCTGGGCCATCTTTGGCGCCTTCATGGTGTTGGTTCGGCTGTAAAATGTCGGATCTACAACGCGTCCGTGAGAGCAGTTTTGCTCTACGCTTGTGAAACCTGGCCTCTCCGAGTTGAGGACGTTAGACGACTCTCTGTGTTCGATCATCGCTGTCTCCGAAGGATTGCTGACATCCAGTGGCAATACCATGTCAGTAATGCAGAGGTTCGGCATCGTGTGTTCGGGCACAGTGATGATAATGCAATTTGTGTCACCATCTTGAAACACCGACTTCGGTAGCTTGGACATGTTGCACAAATGTCATCCCAGAGAAGTCCACGTCGTGCATTATTTGCCGACTCTGGGACTGGTTGGAGAAAGCGGAGAGGTGGTCAGTATATGACATGGTGTCGTGGCATGAAAGAAAGCTGCAAAGGGCTGGCTTCTGTTGGTCCTTCACAACTCCCTGGCTGGGGTCCGAGAGATGGTGCAACACAGTGGCTAGAGACGTTATGAGATATGGCTCAGAATAGAAGCCAGTGGCGATCCTGCTGTAACCTTTTACTTCATAAAAGTGGTTGTATCTTCCTTAACTGAAAGATTTGTCCTGATTGTACCTTTCCGTCCCCCCATTATGACATGGCTCAGAATCGATCACAATGGCGTCGGTGTATACACTCCCTGTCTTCCCTTAAACTAAGAGACTAAAATCACTTCATTCTTTCTGTCTACGAGCTAATTCTTTCTTCCTATACTATATCCTTATTGCAACCTTTGACCTAACCACTCCTATGAATCCGCTGTTCATCTTGCTGTGCTAATGAGGTATGGCAACCTGGACCGATGCACATATGTGCCTGGTCCTACGTTGTAGCTGACTGACTGACTGACTGATTATGACTATGATTATTACTACACTCCCTTACACCAATCTCTTCATTATTGTTTAAAAATTTTTTTTTCTTAAATTCTCATTGTTTTTTGTGGCGCATATATATTTGGCACACTCCTGTACCAATATATATGTGTTCAAATAAATAAATAAAAAATAAATTCATACTAAGGCATCTAATGACGTGTAATCGAAATTCGTTTAGCAACCGGGAGATAAAAGACACGTCATTCAGAACTGTAATTAAATTTTGAGACGAAATCCGCTTGTTGTCATCCATGGATGGGCATATTTTTGTGTTTGTTTGTTCTCTTTGTAAATGACTATTGTATACGTAAACAAGGTGCACTTAATCTTTATGCACATGGTTTGTCTGTATTTCAGATGAAAATGATGATGATGACGAACGTTTGGCTCGACGAAAGTCACGTTTACTTGAGCCTCATCCCGCTAGTGTTAATAGTCCAGGTGCTAGCTCTACTGCAGCTAGACGACGCGCAGATGCCGCAGCTCCACGTGGTATACCTCAGGCACAAATTGGTGAACATTATGGCAATTGTATTCGACTAGCTGCGGAAAATAAAATCACGGCCAAAAATGCTTTTAACTTACATCTGATCGATTACATGAGTGAAATGATAAAAAAGGAGGACTTCGCAAGCTTCCAGGTATTATACGTCTTTTACTTCGACTTTCTTATTTGTACAAAGTCTATACAATCAGTTTTTTCCTTTTGCATCACAACGGTCAAGCTATTGTTTTGAAAAATAATAAATCACGTTACTTAGTCACTGAAACTGCATTGATATTATGATAGTATTTTTAGCTAGTTAGTGATAACCGTTTAATTCAGTAGCGGTTATGTTAAAAATCTAGTGTGATGGTAAACGCACCAGGTCAAGTAAATGTATAGCAAATGAATGCAACGGTTATTCTAGCGAATTATGTGCTGAGAGCACCAATCTTTCAATGCTGTTTGATTCACTGAATGAGAATGTCGACATCTTTAATACTTTTGTGGTTTGTGAAGTGGATATTTAGATGCTGATTGAGTCTTACAACCTGACTGCTTGTTTTCGGGTCGATATATATTGAAGCTGTTTCAAGCTTAGGTTTTAAAGATATAGATCTATCAATTGTGTAGTTTATGTACGTATCCCTGTATGTATTTCGTCAGTAGCCAAAATTATCTGAATAAACTTAGTTAGGAAAATGTATGGCTTAATGAATGTTGACTAGCTGGGACATTTGATGACATTCCATAAATAGTAGTTAGGTTTTTCTGTTCTCTTCAGTTACCAACCATTCCACAACAACCTGAATAAAAACCTGACAATACCTCCTTCGGTTGTTAAAAAAATTGGGAAGGAAACTTCGTCGGGAGAAGAGAGACCTGCTGCGTTGAATCATGTCTATGTGCCTTGCAAGTTGATGGTCCAGTCTTAGCAGTAAAACTGAGTAGCTAACCAGAGCCAGGTAGTTCCATACATATCTCTCAAACCGGTTACAATCACGGATCTGTCATCAGGATTGGCAGCCTCAAGTAATCTTGATCGAACTCCCCCACTTCATTTTTATTTAATTTTGTTATGGGCATATCTTCAAAGATAATACTTCTGGATTCCCAGAAGTTGATCTTCTACCAGGAGAATCTAAAGTACACAAATGATATGGTTCTGTTGGACAAAAACGCCTAAAATATGCCGTCTTCTAAACACCATGAGTAACCGTGCATACTTGTTTAGGATGAATTTCTCCCCTAAATATTACCTCAAAATTTGTCTTTGTCGGTCGCTAGTTTGACATTAGAGAGTAAAGTAGTCAAGCGCGTTAACCACTTTATTATCTTGAACCTCCCATCAGCTTAAGAGCATTGGTATCTGATGGCCTCTGAAAGGATTCACAAAGTCAATTCACGTTAATTACGGTGTGGTGGCATCAATTCATAAAGTCACTAACTTCTGATATGAGCTGTGTTAGCAGATATAGAGTACTTGGCTGGAGTTCGCGCGACTACCGTAACTAATGGTTAGAAGCTCTGAGTGACATGGCTTTGAATCGATCACAGTGGTGTAGGTGTACACACTCTTTGTCTCCCCTTAAACTATGAGATTAAAGTCACTTTACACCTTTCTTTCTACCAGCTAATTCTTTCTCCCCATGTTATAGCTTGTGGCCTGTGTGCCCTGTTGATGTATGACGTAACGATACCGCCAATTAGAGAGCAGTGAATTGTCGATCGGACCAATGATGCATAAAACCCGTGCGAGCAGTCTAGAGTACTTATTGGTCCTGCTTCCTGCCTGGCCCAGCCAGTTAAGTCCAGAACACAAATCTCAGCGATATGAATCATTTATTTCATACATACTCGGTTTATATGCCAACCAGACAGACCACATCGTACCATGAAATAGAAAATAACATTTGTACAAGATTCAGCCAAAAGTGGCTGTGAATGTCGGAGGTAGTAATTAATAGACAGGGCTTAATTCAAGAATGGCAAATCGTATAATAGTAGTTCATAGGTCAAAATAAAGCTCATAATAACGGACATGAATATGCATAGTTTAGTTATTTAACAATTATACGATAAAAATATACGCATAGAATTGGTCCGTAAACTGATCCCAAAAGTTACCATTCATTATGCTTATCGGGCATAACATCCTATTTCATATCCTTATATGCAATGTTTTTTAACTATATTACTACCATTGAAGTAACTACTTCTATGAATTTGGTGTTCATCTTGTGCTAATAAGGTATAGCAATTTGGACCGACGCATATATGTACCTGATCCTACGTTTTAGATTACTGACTGACAGCAGTTCATCCCATATTAATCGATGTATGTGAAACATGGCCTGTGAAAATAGAGGAAATACGTAGACTTCAGGTACGTGATTGTAAGTGTTTTCAAAGAACTGCTTTCGTGTGGTGGAACACTAGCTATTAGTCCTTAGGTTAGACCTATAGTACTAGGAAAACATGGCAAATAATTTGATGAGTCTGCGGGTCACAATCAGCTAGTATTTCCTGAACATGTATGGCATATATTCAACCACCACTTACCTTGATGCTAGGTTCTGACTAGTGTGCAATCAGATTGAAAGTAAACCATGAGTTACTAAACTACGACATGATATCATTCTATGAAATCATTAAATATGAGCTGTATTTGTAAGTGTTGAATACCAGATTGAGGTCCTAGCTATAGTCGTGATCGTCAGTCATAGATTTCTTCTTACATAACTAAAAATTGGCCTCACTGGGGCAGATGCATTCATTCTGAAGTCCTCTTAAAAATTGAGCTTCATGATTTCTAGTACTATTTTTTCTGTTTCGTTCCTTTTCAAACCATATTCCCTAAACTTGATCTTGTTGTCATTGATACTATTATTCCAAATCTTTTGGCACTCATTTTGTCAATTCCTCACTATTCTGATGTGGTATAGAAATTTGGACTGCTGTAAAAATGTCAGGTCCTGCGTTGATTGTGATTAATTTCTGTCTGATCAGTAGTTGTATGGTTTATAAGAACGTAGATATTTTACTTAAATTAATGTACTGGGGTTAACGTTTAATATCTAAATATTTGAGGTTACTGAACGATAAGGAGTCAGTTATTGAAGCCAGCAGTTTGCTACTATTGAACGGAATTCAAGATATCACAAGTTAGTGACTTATGAAGCTACCGTAAGAAGGCTTTAAAAAGTATGTGATAACCGTTATGGGTGTCATTTTTAACCTTCCCTTTAATACTAGTTATTGGGTCGTGCAAGATAACCGTAATCTACGACTGAAAACAGTTGCAGTAACTCGTTTTTCAGTTCGTTTCTGCATCTTAAATTTAATATTATTCCGTACTTTCCAGTTTTCAATTTCACTTTTATTTTTATTTTCCTACCGTTTTTATTAACATTGCTTCAAATCATTCTCTTTTCCTCTTTCTGTGCACACATTTATACACAGTAAAATCTCATGTATCTATTCATTTCTATCTTTAAAGCGCTAAATGCTTCCTCACTTTTCATAACTCAAATTGTAAAGCTTCATTTGCTTATAATATAAACCTATGCAATAGTCTTCTCGTTTGTATTACTTTTAGATTGCCAGCTCATCGTTGGATGCTGGAGCAAAAATATACGCAGGTCGTGTTGATGCTGTACATCAAGAAACGTATCAGGTGCTTACTGGACTTGGTCGCTCAGGCAATCCTCAAAATGGAGAGAATGAGAGTAATGCCGATAATGTTGATGATGACGATAAGACTCATTCACATTCTAAACCAGAGCAAAAAAAGAAAACTGCTTCACATCGAGATATTATCCATAAACAACTAAATAAGATTCGAATTAAAACACTAGCTGATAAGATTGATGTAAGTTTTTGCATAAATTTCGTACCTGCCTATCTTATTTTACCACTTTTTGTCAAATAATGTATAAGCTTTCTGGTAGTGAATACCTAAAATCTCGAGTAAATATTTTCGTGGTTTAAGCTTTCGCAATGACGCTTAAATCACGTTATAAAAGAGAACATATTAGTGGGGCGGTGTCAAAACGTTCGATTTCCGACCACTAGGTCCCAGGTTTGAACCCCATTCTGCCTATTTCAGTTTTTTCAGCCAGCTAGTATTATTGGCCCTCAAACTTAGAGTGTGACTTATACCCACGCATATGGTGAGTGAGTTTATTTGGTTTAATTTGGAAAATACTTACCTTTTTACACAGTTAAAATTGTACGTAATTAATTGTATCTTCAGGTTGACCCTTTGTTTCAACATCAAACAGCTGCCTACGATGAGGGGGGTACTGCTGAACTAAGATTAAACCAGCTTTCCACTGCTAATGCTTCATGTGAATTGATTTTAGACTCATCAACTCCTGTTATGCTCCGTACGTTGACCACCACTCAACCAATAACTCCTATGAATGTTACAAATGTTACTGAATTTTTGTCTTCAATGCTTGCAAGATCACTAAATCAACTATCTATATGCTCTACGTTGCAAAGCTTTCGCTTTACCGATTGGGATCTAAACAAGAACAGTTTTGATGTAAGTTTACATTATATGTTCTGTAGATCACTAGTTAACAATCAATAAATCGTAATCCATTTCGTTTGCAAATCATACTGATTAATCATTACATTCACTCAATTACATCTTGCTAATCACTCTGTTATTCAATTATATTTCCGGATGTTAGTATGTCAGGTTTTCAAGCCATAAACCTGATTGCTTCAAAGTGTTAGATGGCTCGTATCATATAACATTTCTCTAAGTATTATACTTGTATTATTTTTCTGTGTAGTATGCTTTTTTCGAATCGTTTCATTAATCCTTTGAACATAACATATGTCATCACTTCACATGTTTTTGGGATTTCCTTTACAGGTCTCACTCTCAACATACTTTCACCAGGGTTGCTTTCCAAATCCCTGTTATATATTGTTAAGTCTTTCGTTATCCGACCCGAATACCCTTATTGTTTAGCATTCCGACGCTTTATCTCATTCGACTAACCACAAAAACAACACGGCTTGGTCAAGTACATAATTTTATTCCAAGTTAGATTAAATCCCATCAAGAAAAACTTTGGTATATTTATAATTCTACGCAAGAAGGTTCTAGAGTCTTCATTTATTGGATAGCGCTGATGGGCTTAGCATGTTCCATGCAGGATTGTGTTGGGGCACGCTGATTGGCCGCTTCTTAGCCGGTCAGCGCTGCTGGATACTTGGAGGAGACTCTAGAATATTCTTACGTAAAAATTATGAATATACTAACGTTTTTCTTATTTTGGTTCCTACTTCCATTCAACCTTGTTTATTTGGAATATAATTAAGTTCCTGTTCAACCGTGTTCTGATTTGGAGACTTGTCGAGTGAAGCAGTATCCAAGACTACTAAGCATGAAGAGCATCTGGGTCGTAATAAGAGAAACTATAATAGTTGTAGACTTAGGATTTTTATCTGACCACATGTACCCATATAAGGGTGATTTCTGGACACAGATGGAATCCGAATATCCACTTAGTAACCCTAACGTAACGACTAGATTTTCAAACGAGGTCTTGTACTGTCTGAGGAACAGAAGAAATACAATTTCAGTAGTGATGTAAAAGTGGGTAGCCAGTTATCCTAATGACCGAAATCTACCGACACCGTTCAGTGTAACATCAATAAAATGGACGAGACTAGCCAACTGAATGTGAGTAAAATCATATTATCAGAGCGGCGCTAATGGGTGAAAGTCCAATATACAAACGGAAATTTGTCAATATTTAAAGTGAAACTGGACAGTTGTCAGCGTTTTCACATAAGGAATCAAGAAATATAAAAGTTTATGATTTACATTTTTCGGATCAACTCAGGAATGTAAAAATGTTCTCTGTTACTACTTCTTATACTGTTGACATTTCAGTTTCATCCCAGTTTGTATATGAAATCTAGGGAGGTTGCATATCACTACATCATACGATATATTTGTTACCTCTGGCTGAAAACCCAGATTTCAACCGGGACAAACATATTGCTAAAAATCAATAAAAACTAGGCACGTAATGCGAATTAACTTCAGAGCTGTCTTGGTGGATAGTTTTCACAAAAGTGTCAGTATATTAAAGGATTTTTCACAAAAATATGTAGTTCAAGTGTTTAGTTACTGTTAAACTATTCGAATAAAATAAACATGCAATGAACGTAAGTACTTAAATTCTTAGAAATTAAAAAGAGATAATTTTGAATCTTTCCTAGTGATAATGTGTTTTCAAATTATCTCTTAGTCAAATAGCCAAATGAACTGGGATACAAATTCAAAACCTATTAATTTGTTTAATCAAGACAATAATGATGATGGTGATGACAATGGATTCAATCCTCTTCCAGTTCAGGATGATAGTTTTTGTGACAATATTCATGAAGGTAATCTTTGTTTGTGTAGTTTACTGCAGGTAAAAATTACTTTGGTTATTTATCTAACAAAATAATCATTTAAATTCATCAGGTTGCATGAAAACACTTATTATTAGTATTACTTTCACAGTGTCATTTTAAACATATAATGGCTAAAGCTTATATAACATTATTCTTAAAATAAGTATCCTAATGTCGATTTGACATGTCGTGAGTTATAAGTTAGATGGTATGTTGATAATTTTTAAGGATAGGCTATAAATTCTCATGAAAGCACAATCCTGGTACCATAGTCTTTACTGTTGGTTACTGTTCAAGTAAAGCGGATCATGAAAAATACAAAAAAAAGGTGACTTATGCTGGATAGTTTTGTTCTTATCATAAATATATATTTGTCTTTCCTTCACGACCTGACATCTGCTCTAGTTCTGTTAAATGTTTGAATGCTTAAATAGAGCTTTTCTTATTAAAATTAAAACATAGGATTATGGAGATCGTTGAGCTTCATTGAAATCATGAACCGACCAGTGTTAGATCATTTTTGAAAACTTCGAAACACTGGACGGTCGTTTTGTCATCGTGGATTGGTTTAATTCAGACATTAACACCATTGGGTGCCGGGTCAGTGGTCTAAAGTCTAAACGTTCGCACGCGAGGCCCGAGGTCTTGGGTTTGGGTCCCACGTGCGGGATCGCGGATGCGCACTCCTGAGGAGTCCCATAATAAGGCGAAACGGCCATCCAGTGCCTCAATGTTTTCAATGGTGATCTGAAATTGATCTGTTCGTGATCTTAATGAAACTAGCGATTTGATTATTAGTATGAATTGAATAATGGTTGTATTTAGCTGATATCTTGAGGTCCATTAGTATTTGCTCACTGACTTGTGACATGGACCGTTTTATTTTCATCTAGGGACAGCCTAATGATAAGATTTTACTATATGGAACCATTTTTTGTCTGATAGAATAATAAAACCTGATCACTATCAAAAAATTTATTCAGTAAGTTCCTAACAACTGTTCGAACTTCAGATTAAATAAGTCTTACACTGTGTATTTTCTCTTCACTCTTCAAATAAAAATGTTTTCATTTTATGAAATCTAATTTAGCAATATTAGTATAAAACTGATAAGCTTCTGTTTCATGACACTGAATAAACTTGTATTGGTAATTAGTCTCTATCTAAAACAAACGTAGGGTGGTGATTCCAAACTAAACGATATATTAATGTGACTATGAAGAAGTATTATAATATATTATTGTCTTAGTCCCATAAAGTTATCTTCAATGTAAATTCTCACCAAGAACTAATTGACATCACTGAAGTTGGTTTTATCAAGCAGAACTGGATATTACCACAGCAGCTCTTTACAGGCCTATATAATTAGACTATGGACCATATTTATAGTAATAGTAATACTATTTAATTGTTAAGTCACATTTGTAGAGTATTGTTCGTACCTGTGATTTAGTTAAAACAATTCTATAAAAACATATCAAGTGATTCGAAAGGTTGTCAGTACTTTTAAGTAAATATGACTTAACTGTCATTTCCATGTTTTTTTCTCTACTACAGACATAAACTTGGACCCAGTGTGTGAAACTGGAATGCAAGTTGAGGTGAATGGTTCATCAGCAGAAGCTGTAAATAATAATATTGGATCTGATAATCTGTTGGCTAATATTCCCGTTACCGAAAAGTAATATATATGCATCACTTGCCAGCTGTTAATAAAATATAATAGGTCCATTTCTGTTACATCACAGTATTTTCTAAAAGTTTATTAATTCTAAGCAGAATTGAATATAAAATTATATATTTAATTATCTCAGCGACTAAAATTTATTTATTTCAACGGTTCGCTCTACAGTGTATTGCTAGTTTCTCAGAATCAATCGGAAGTAGATTTTAACATTTCGCAGACAAACTCTCTACATAAAAAAGTTCAGTTATTTTATAGATGTTCAATTTAGTTGAAAATATAAATGTAAGTCATTTAATTTGAAATATCTTTAGATTGTCGCATTGAATCATGTGTATCAAGTTCTTAGCCAAGTTTCATAATTATATTTAGGATCAAACTAGTCAATCAAGTATATAGGAGTTAACTGAACTTGTCAAACTATGTGCCGATTGACAAAAAACCAAATAAGTGTATTCATGTTTGTGTTCTGTTAATCAAAACAGTGATGAGTAAGTTATCCAACCTTAGCAATTAAGTAAGCAATTGAATGTATGTTGTTGATGTTTATAGTCCTTTGTGTGTTAGTGAATGTGTCAGAGTAGCAGATAATTGTTTTTTCATTTGTTATTCAGTACTTCACTTGTCAGCGCTAAGTTTACTCTTACTTACTTACACCTGTTACTCCCAGTGGAGCATAGGTCGTCGACCAACATTCTCCAAACCACTCTGTCCTGGGCCTTCCTTTCTAGTTCTATCCAATTGCTGTTCATTCTTCTCATGTCTATTTCTCAGCATAATTTATTCTTTGGTCTTTCTCCCCTTTGGCCTTGCGGATTACATGTGAGGGCTTGCCTTGCGGCACAGTTGAATGCTTTCTTCAATGTATGTCCTATCCACTTCCAGCACTTCTTCCTGATTTCCTCCTCTGGGATCAGGTTTGTTCTCTCTCACAGTAGGCTGTTGCTGATAGTTTACTCTATCGCCCATATAATGACCTCCTTATTCGTCAGTCTTTCCTTCTAAGACACAAAACACTTTTAGAGGGTTTCAAATCATTGGAATCTAGTTCAATGTCCAATTTCTGTTGAATACAATGGTCGGACTGGTGTTTCATCCTTAGTTGTCGTTAATAATGAACTAGGAGAACCATTCATTTGTAAGTGCACTTTTATGTCTAAAATAGAATCCTTCAACTCCCTCTAAATATTTTTCAGCAGTTATCTGAAAAACTACGTCATATGGTAATACAAAAATAAAGGCTCACTGCGTATCACGTTCAACTAATTGATCCAATTATCAAAAATCTTTTATCTTAAATAACTTCAATTCAAAGAAATGAAAATATGAATTGATTACTAAAGCTTTCACTGTAAAATTTTCCACTTCTGTACTTCGATAGTTATGAGTCGTACTCAAAGTACCGCACTCATTGGAACCTTAATTGTCTTAAATTAGCGCACAGTGTTTATCATGAATCCTTATGTAAATATTTACCTCTTCCGAGTAACAACAATGAATATCATTTTCACCGTAATCTCTTTATTTTTATATATTTCAGCTCAAAAAGGTCCGAGTTAGAGAATTGATTGATTAGTTAAAGCCCATATGGTTTAAATCCACTGTCATCTTTAAATTATGTTTTGCTATAGTTTATGTAGAAATTTTCGAAATTAACTTATCAAGTTCAAAACAATTTACCACTATCGAAATTATACCTTCTGACCAATAACTTTTTCCAATTTACAAAATTTCCTGTTTCATTTATTATTTATATTCACCATTACAATGGAGTGATGAGAATTCTCATAATTTCAGTCTTTCTTTGCAACAGTTAAAAAACAACTACCCAATTCATCTGAATTATTCATACTAGGGCATACTTGCAACTCTATGTGGATCAATGTATTAAAATAACTAAGACCATTTTGGTTTCAATCATTAAGTAGATCCACTCACTTCTGTTTGAACATCTTGATATATTATCAATAGTATTAAGGGTGGCAAAGACTGAGATGTTTTTAATGTACATGTGTACTTATTTCTATTATTTTCAAACAGAAATAATTCTGTTCTTTATCAATTATTTAGTACTACCGCTACTAATACTAATACTACTACTACTACAGCAGATGGTGAATTATTTGTATCCTGTTTAAAAAATATGCTGGATAAACAGTATGAACATTTTGGAAAATTAAATGATCATCTGTTGGGTATGTGGGCAGGACCTGAACATTGGCGTAAAAAAGCTAAAAGACCGAAGTTGGATGGTACAGTTAAATTAAATGAAGGTTTGTTTTGCTCATTTTATTATTTTCACTTTATAGGAATATATATGACTATTGATCTTTATAAAATAAAAACCGTGACATGACATTGATCACCACCCAGTGATCAGTCAATTGTGATTACATCTCAGTCCTACAGGAGGTTAGTCACGGCTCGGATAGCTCAGTGGTAACGTCTCTGACTGTGAAGCTAGGTGACACGAGATCGAATCCGTCAGGGAGCACCAGTTCCCTCAAGATTACAGGTACACCTTGCTGACGAGTGCCAAGTAGCACGGAATCCGGCTCCAGGGTTTCCTGTTGACTACCTCCAACCACCAACTTACGTCCTTGTTACCGCGTTATGACTTCGACTTACACCTACTAATACAGTTACTGTATACGCTAACGGTCGATATTTGACGCAAAATTAACTTATTCCAAGATCACGAATCAGGGTACTATAAAAACCGGGCTTCAACATCTCACGTGATTACGCAACACACTAAATGATAAATCTCATTGAGTACTTAACTATATCATTTGTAATACGAAATTGATTAATAAATTTAAATTTAACTAACTAAAGGTCAAATATATCTTAACAAAACTCAAATGAAAACCTAAATTTAGGATACTTCAATAAAAATACTATTAACTAACTGTTTAAGAAATAAATATTGGAAACATACAACCTAGTCCTCCCAAAAATCTTTTGTCATTATTCAAAATTTCCGTGATTCATGCTAGCGCCCAAGATCTAGATGCCGAGTGTAGTGTTTAACGTTCAATGTGTTAGTACTCTACTAGCTTGCATTTTTTCCTTCTCAATACTAACCTAAGCGTTGTATATATACGCATAGGAACCTGAGATCAGTGATTTTTTGTGTGTATATTGTGTTGTAAACTTCAATGGGTGCAGACTACCTGGTTGGGGTCGGTATGGTTATTGTAACCATTTGTTAGAGATTTTAAATGATATGACTCAAAATCGTTTGCAACGGCGCACGCACATTCAATCTTTGTCTTCCCGCAAATTCTGAGATTCTAATTTCCTCACAATTTGTTCGTTTTTATTTTACTAATTTATATCTTCCCGAATCGTATCTTCAATGCTTAATCTTTCCTATTACAACTGATTCTGTTACTACCTCTATTATTCTGAGATTCGGCTTGACAATTCCATCTTTCTGCACGAATGGGGTGTGGCAATTTGAACCCATGTACATACGTACCAGGTTCTACTTCGTGATTGACTGAATCCGTGTTAATCTAGTTTTTCCCGTCATCTATGTCAATTATTTCACATAATATCATACCTTAATGTTACACGTTAATACACATCAGTGGTTGTAAGGACTTGATGAGAAACCACAAAATATAATGAATTTATATCGTTCTGCTTCAGTTGTTGTTATGGCTTTATTTTAATCAATTTATTACACGTAGAAATTTTGGTACAGTGGCATACCAAAGAAATGTAGTACAATTTTAAATAATAATGCTATGAAGGAGATGAAACGGCCACATAATCATTAAAGAAATGAACAAAATTAGTATTTAATAGCAGAAAAATATTAATTAGAAAGGAATTTAACCAAGATAGATTCCTTTCAATGTACGCGTTTTAAAACTATTGACCAGTTAACCGTCGTTAAGTTACCAATTAACATGGAAGTTTCAGTTTCTTTCATTGTCCGTAATCAATCATATTATATGATTAGATTTCTTGTTCTACTAATAGAAACTTAGCCTCCAAAGCTTAATAACTGATCATTCCACAATGGTTTCTGTAAATAGATCTGAGAGCTCTATCAGGTTTTCTCGCCGTTTCAACATCGAGAAAGTGAATACTTTGCTTGGTTTCGGAAAAATTAAAAGAAGTTATTTCTACTTCGCTTGTTACTCGTCTATTCTGTTTTCCCTTTCATTTTAATTTGTATTTGTACTATTTTCTAAACATTTATCTTTATCTTAATGTACATCGAACAACAGTAGAAATAGTTTTTGTATCATTGGCAGTTCAATTTTTATCCTAAGAAGTTCAATTTTTGTAGCGACATTTTGAATTTCATGTGTGTTCCAACAAATTCCTTTTTTCTTGATATCATTTTGTTTAAATGGAGTCGACCAGTGTTGTTTAATGTGTAGTTAACTACTCTAAAAAATTGATGCCTTAACACTTAAGTGTTTTAATGTCGCTTGTCGAATATTTTGATTTTATAATATTTTACTCAATTTAATGGTAATTTTTCGGTCAATCCATTTCATATTTATTTCAGACAACCCTGAGAAAAATTTTGAACATGGACTAGGTGAAAGTGAAACGGGGATTGTTGACAAGGTAATAAACAGTCGAAAGATGACCAAGTCGAAAAGAGATAAAGCGCAAAAAATCTGTTATGCTGAAACGATTAAACCGAGCGAGAATCGAACAAGGCAAGTTTGTTATCTAGTCGACTAAAAATATACTTGTTGCATAGCACAGTTCGTAGCAAGGTCGTATTTCTTACAATTCAATGTAGAATATTAATATTTTAACTTTGTATAAATTAAAATGCACAATTATTTTGGTATATTTGTTCTTGAAAGATTGTTCGTAAATTGTATTTCTAAAAACACTATTTTCGTATTTGAAATCTGTCACTAAAATGACTTGTAGTTATCTTTTAGCTGATTTTTTTTCTCACAATGATTAATGTTAATATAACCACTACCAAATACAGGTTTATTACTCTGGCTCTCTTTATTGACATTGTCTAAGAATTAGCTATTCTATTCGACTTCATAAACCAAAAATCGGTCGCGCAAGGTTCTAACCGAAAACCTGAGTGTTGTGATTACTAAATTGCCGTTCCACCGATTTCTTTTCACATTTCCATCATGTTACAATTTTCACCACTAGAAAGTACATTTTGTTCAGTTTGGGATTAACGTTGACTACGTAATCTTTATTCGGTCTCTGATGCTTTAAGATCGCATATGTGAGTTTAAATAGTCTCCGATTTTTCAAATGCTAGACAAATATTTAGAAATGTAAATGACCGTTATGATCAATCTGATAACCCTACGATTAAAATAATATCCAATAAATTGATTATTTGCAACGACATCATACAAAACATTTTTTGCTTCTAAAGTGACCCATAGCTATCCACCATATTTGTACTACTATAGTAAGTTTAAGATTTCGCATTTACCGACATTCAGTATGTAGATCAAAAAGACTTCGGATTTTAGAAGTATCCGCTTCTACCTCTAATTTTATAGTTATAGAAATCAGAACCATTACTAAAAGAGTACTATCTGCTATTGTCTATGATGAAGCGGAGTTGTCATAATCTATTATTTTTCTTCATCATCTTCATGTAGTTGTCCGCTCGAAAAGAGCTGAACCATGTCGTCATCACTTGTTTCCAAATTTTATTCACTTCAGTTCTTACATCAATTTACATTTACCACCAATAAACAGCTGAATACAAATAGTAGTAAACTGTGATGTGTCTCAGAGAACAGTTGATCCATATAGATATCTTTTTTAAGATAATTATTGAGCTATATTAGAGTTTACCTATGAGTAATTTACTGATACCAATAATCAATTTTCACTCTACAAAATCACAATTTCAAGGCCCACTAAACGTTACTATACCTCAATCATTTTAACAGCTGTTATATTATCTGAATAGTGACACCTTTATTGTTAGCCTACAAAAATGTGACTGAAGTGTCTTTAATTTCATAATACTTTACAAATACTGGATTTATAACTAGTTAGCATTAACGTCCGAATATTTGGTGCATAGTGAAATCAACAAATGCGTCACACGATATTTATATTCCCAATTTTATTTATCCAAAATGTTATGCCACTCTATCTTGACTTGTTTGTTACTTTTTTTATCTCTTTCAATTTTAATGCTTCTTTGACTGTTTTGGGTGAAGTTTGATTCCTTAAATCATTGTGGTGTTACTCCGTGGTTTTAGTCGTTCTATCTATGTAATCTAAAAATGATATAGTTTTTTTATTCTAACGAAACAAAAATATGAATAATATGGTAGAATTAAGTTGAATTACTCGATATAGGGGACTATGTTGTTTGACTTTACCATATTACACAAACTTTTCTTAATTAGTTCTCTGTCAGTAAGAACATTGATAATTCATACATTATGATAGTAAATAAACCATGCTTAATTTTTCTTCCAGCTATCAACTGTAAAGTAGTTTGCTTGATTACAGTGAATATCTCACATTAATATTTTATCGGGTCTTTTTCACCATTATCTGCATGACATACAAATGTAGAAATTTCATTTTATTTCACTCACGTTCTTACTCGTCTGTTTCTTTTAATTTTTAATTTTGACCATTTTAATCTTTTCCATTATATTTATTAGGAGTGGTAGATTGTCCAGACGAGATTGGCTCAAAAATGTTCTATCATCTGGTGTAGAAAACAGTACTGCATCCAACTCGACGATATTTAAGGAAACCTACAGGCAGAAAGCCAATCGTCAAATGAACATGCTCCCTTCAGAATGGTCTGATTCTCGCCAAACTTTATATCAACTTGTTAATCGAGATGTAATTCTGCGTCCGAATATTCTCCCTGATGGTAGAAATCTCACAAACTGTAATAACATTACAGTAAGTATTTATTGTTTCAGTCATGTATCATGAATTAGGTGTATCGATTATTAATCATCCGTTTCTTATTATGAGATTCTATATATGAGATCTGGGTATCCCTCCTACTTGTATTACTTGTATTTTGAATCGACGACTTACTGTCACTAAGCCTTTACACCAACATTACATTACTCATCTCGAAAATTCAAACAATCCATGCATTTTATTTTGTGCTGCTGTTTAGTACGATCAATCTCCAAATTGTTGTTACAACTAATGATCTCATACGCATTCAAACTTAGTTGTGTTTTTTTAGCGAAAGTATATGATGTATATAATAATTATAATAGTTCACCCATTCACCAGTTACTTGACTGTGAGCCACAATGTAAGTTTGGGGGCTAATGATACTCTTCGATTGCCCAGACCTAAGTAGCTGGAGCGGCGTTGTGAGCTTCGATTAAAAAGCTAGAAGTCAAACGCCTTAGTCACTAAGTCACTGCTGCACTAAATGTTAAAGTGGTTGGAAGTAGTCGAGAGGAAACCCTGCTTGATCTAGGTATCGTGCTACTTGGTACTCATCAACAAGGTGTACCACCAATCTTGGGGGGATTTTTGCCCCCTAGCGGATTCGACTCCACACCACTGATTTTCACAAATCTGAGACATTACCACTGAGCTATTCGGGGCGAACTATTTGCTGTGCATGTCAATAGATTTATTGTTTTTCCTTATTTCTAATTGTCAGAGTGAGAACGCAGACTATATGGTTGGAACTAATGAATTATGTGCAGTTCTAACTGTTGGTAGCTCAGAACGACCTGTTGACAATGAGTATGAAGATGCTGACGGCGGACTCGACCAGTTGAGGAACCATCAAGATGACGACGACGATGATGATGACGCAATAATCCCATTCGAATGTGCCTTTACACAAGTAAGTCGATCAAAGAAATGCTGTTCAACATTTGTTTTATGGGATTCAAAACAATCTGGTATTCCATTAATACTAAGTGCGTAATAGAGAAGCAAGAATAAGGTGTGTTAGTGAAACCAAGCGATCCATTCGTTTTTGTTTAGTCCATGAGCAGAGTCTGAAAAAACCATCGTACATTTTTTTGGTCTTTTTTCCCAAATGCTTAGTTATGGTCACAAATACACGTAAAATGTTTACTTCGTCAACGGATTTGTTTGTTTCTATATGCTAACAAGCGTCTAAAATGTTTCTGATTGAATGTATCAACTACAGGTGATTTTTTTGGTAACCATTAAATATATATATATATATATATATATATATATATATATCAGTAGGGTATGTGGTAATTGTTGAGTTTCATTGAGATCATGAACTGATCAATGTTAGACCACCATTGAAAACCTTATGGGACTCCCTGTGAGTGCACACCCATAGTTCCACACGTGGGACTCAGACCTCTGGTCTTACGCACAAACGCTTAGTTTCTAGACCTCATGTTCTTATTAAAAAATAGGTATAATTTTTGTTAGCCGTAATTTAGTGACTAAAGTTTAGTATATAGTATCTGCATATATGTGGTTCTACTGAAGTTTCCGTCTTTGTATAGCATTCGTTGCGCTTGGTCACTTTGCTTTCTGGGATTATCAACTACAGTAGTCTGTTTTGTTGTATCGTTCTCAATATTGGTTATAAGTTGTCGGCTATTATCGTTATTTCTACTCAATGTGCATACTAAATATTTATCAGAAGTTGGTCAAACTATTCTTGTAAACTTTTTGCTTTTCACACTACTTAATACCTGGAAAGTAAAATTATGCTCTTTCCTCCATGATAGTTTTGGTGGCTTTCAAGACTAATCTCTTAATTTTTCCTAAGTCTGAATAGTTACAATCATTTCCGAAGGATAATACTTTATCATTTGTGTACCCATTTATTCTGGTTGTGCAGTAATTATTGATTCTTAAGGCTAATCGCCATATTAATTTCCAATACATTCTGTGTTCCATTCGCTTTCTCCTATTAATTAAAATACATTCAACTTTATACCTGAATAAAGCAAAATTGTCAAACTGAAAATATTTCGACTTGTAGATATATGATAAAATCTGAATAATCTCAATCCTATGAGAAATAACGTACTTCAATAATTGATCGTTTCTTATAACATCTCATTTTTTTTTAGAACGCTGGGTATAATGATGGTGAATTGACTGATATAGAATTAATTTCACAACCAAATAAAGTGGCTCGCATTGAAATTGGTTACGCTCGAACTGCGAAAATGATTAACGTTCAACGGTTAAAGTGTGCTATGTGGGGATTCCTCGAACATACAGTTCCTCACGTTGGTTTAAATATTCCATCTCAGTCACCATTATCTGTTGCTTCTACAGCCTCAGCTCCTGATACTAATAGTTTAGTGGACGATCCAACATCACTCAATGTAAACGAAAACCAAAAACAATACCCGATGAATGAGGACGTTATTGAGTCGGACAGTGGAAGAGCATCATGTCTACCTAAAGTTCACGGTGCTCGAGGTTTCTCAGAAGTTATTGACAACTTATCAGGTCGTATAAGTTGGCAAATGGCTAAAGAACTTAGTATATCAATTGCTTTAAATTGTCTTTTGCATTTGTCTAATGAGAAAGTGAGTTTTTAAAACGACATTTCCTTGTTTGTTCCTTATCATTGACATTTATAACTTCTTTACCAAGCACAGATTAACATACCCATATCTAGGGTTTCAATTATTTCCGGGATGCGTAATGATAATGATGATACCGATATTGCATAACTGGCTAAACTGAAATAGGTTGAGTAGCATATCAAGCCACTGGTTGAAAACTCAATTCTCTCATCTCTGGTTATAATATCACTGAATAATTTTGGAGAATATTATCATCTCCATATAAATCGGTCAGTCAGCTGCAACGTAGCACCAGGCACATATGTGCGTCGGTCCAAGTTGCCATACCTCATTAGCACATCAAGATGAACACTGGATTCATAGAAGTAGTTAGTTCAATGGTGGTAATATATAAAAGAAAGATTGCATATAAGAATATAGTGCAGGAAGAAAGAATTAGTCCATAGAAAGAAAGGTATGAAGTAATTTTAATATCACGGTTTAAGGGAAGACAAAGAGTATATACACCTACGCCATGTCACCAAGAGTCTCCAACCATTGGTTACGATAGTCACACGGACTCCAACCGAGTAGTCTGCATCTACAAACATGGCTAAGACTAGAAGTTAGTGACTTCAAGCACTGATGCCGTGTTTTGCTTTGACCACTTCTACCCTTCTCCCAACCATCTCAGTCGATGAAGATTCACAACCTCGTCAAGTGATTTACCATCACTCCCTAATACCCTGCGTCTAGCTTCACTATTACTTACCCGGCGATCCCCGCAGATGCGAGCAATATTTCTAAGGCATCTGTGGTCAAATACTAGTAGCTTACGAGTATCTTCAACTCTTAATGGTCACGTTTCGCAGCCGTAAAGCAGAATAGAACGAACTGTCGCGCAGTATACTTGTCCCTTGATTGATAGACGGATATCTCGCATTCGCCGTAGGTGACGTATGTTGGCAAAAGCCGAAGGAGCTTTTCGATTCCGTGCTGAGATTTCGTCAGACACCAACCCATTAGGGTTGATCAGACTTCCAAGATAAGTGACGTTGTCGACGCGTTCGACTACTTCACTCCCTATCCTTAGTTTAAGTGTTGATGCAGGCCAGTCCTGCAACAACAACTTGCATTTAGAGGAACAGAAACGCATTCCAAACATTCTGGCGTTGTTGCTCAGTGCTACCAAAAGACTCTGCATTCTATCAGCGTCTTCACGAAACAGGACTATGTCATCTGCGTATTCTAAGTCGATAAGTGGACTTCCTGGTAGGAGATCAATGCCCGAAAGTTCAGTCGACGAGAATGTTATTTCCATCAATAAGTCTATGATGAAGTTAAACAAAAACGAAGAAAGTGGACAGCCTTGACGGACACCACTTGAAGTCGCAAAATCAGATGACAGTTGACCATAAGCTCTGATTCGACTAGTGATGTTCGAGTAAAGAGCCTTCACAAGGTTTATGTACTTCTGGGGTACGCCTTTCAATGACAGACACTGCCACAGAATCTCGCGGTCTGCCGAGTCAAATGCTGCTTTTAAGTCAAGAAAGACTACCATTGTCGGACGCCGATAAGTATGCCTGTGTTCTAGAACCTGACGAATGGTGAATATGTGGTCGATGCAGCCACGACCAGGTCTGAAGCCAGTTTGATTCTCTCGTGTTTGCAGTTCACGAGTCTTAGTTAGGTGTCCGATAATTATCGAGGCTAGTATTTCAGATACTATATTAGTTAAACTAATCCCGCTATTGTTGTCACAGAATGATTTTGACCCTTTCTTATATATTGGGACGATAAGTGATTGCGACCAGTCAGATGGGATAAAGTCTAATTCCCAGATCTTAGCTAAAATATTAGTCAACTTAATCGCCAAAATTGGACCACCATCCTTAAAATCATCTGGACCAGCTGCCCTTCCTCGTTTCAGATTAACTACAGCCTTTTGAACTTCAGCTAGATTTGGCGGACGTACGATATCTCTCCTTATGCTTAAGATTTGTGCTTGCTAAATATAAACGATTGTCTGAACACCATTGCAACAGACGATCACCATTATCTGTTCGCTGTGCCGGATTATTAAAATATCCACCTAAATGCCTTTCTGTTTGGTTTCAACTACCTATCTGGGCATTAAAGTCACCTGCTACGAGTACTATATCTGAACGTTTAGCTGTCTGAAGAAGTTCGGAAAGCTTTCTGTAAAATTAATCTTTCACTTCATCAGTGTTGCAGTCAGTGAAAGCGTAGGTAGAAACGACAAAAAGGCAACGACATGTGTCCCTATCCTTTCAAATTTTTACGGAGCCGTTTAGTCGAACAGCACATAAACGACTGTTAACGGGGATGCACTCTAATAGTGCTTGCTCCGCTGTCATGCTGGTTGTCTGAAGGAAACGCCTCACTGCTGTCACACCTCTGTACAGTGGGCAGTACGACTTCGCCTTCGGACCTCGGATTTGTTGCTTTTATTCTTAGTGCTCTTCAACCGACCTGTGTGGGATGGTAGGAACTTGAGGAACAATTGTTCCAGCCAGTATGACCTGATTGGTTCATTACGATAGGCACGTTCGACCACCACGTCAAGGTAGCAACAACGGTCGAGATCATATAAATGGAATAATAACGATTAAAAATAAAATACTGAAACATCAGTTTTCCTGTTTTCCAAAGCTTTTTTATACGCTGTAATACAACGTCTTAATCATAATTCCTACCACCAATGACAAATTTATCCCTTCTTAATATTAACACGAATCTTCCCATTGTTTTCTTGATGTTTATTGAGTGTTAGTAATTTTGTTCTTGTTAAAATTTAGTGGTTACGGTGTGCAAAAGCATTTACAAATTTCAGAAGGAGCTTTTTAAAGTTTGTTTCATTCATTCCATATTTTAATAGTTTTTTTTTCTTTTTTTCTAGCAATTATATCTAGAAAATGTAGACAGTTTTTCAGATATATACATCTCTCAAGGTTTGCCTTCATTTGAATTGAAACATCTTGAGACTTACACTAATATATGTGATAATAATGCTATTCATCATGGCGATATAATATCTGGTAATAAACCAAAGTTGAACAATCAAAAACGTAATAAAACTCGACATATACGTCCGTCTACACTGGATTCATGGCTTATCGAAAATGATTAAGGATCGTTGGTTAATAATTTGTTAAATTATGCAAATAATATTATTGTATAAAGATGAATATATTTTGTATTCTTTCAAATTAGATCAAAGATGTATTATATGTTTTGAGGTTTTCATTTTTTGTGTGTAGTAATTATATATATATATATATTCCCTGTATATATAAGATATTTTCCCCGTAAATTTGTCTATATTCTTATGTAATATTCAATTACATACCATTTCATTATCATTAAAACATCTTGATGACTAACTTTGTCATTTGAAGTTCCCGATTTTACACCTTGTTGTTATGATAATCTAAACTTTTTTGTTCGTCTTTCTTCTTCATTATTCATATGGTCATTTTTTTGTGTACACATACCCCAATACAACCGTACTTTATACTGTCTATTGATTAATGACATTAACTCTACTTAATCCTATTCCGATTCATACTATACTTAGTCTTATGTCTGGATTCCTACTGTGTAATATTATACGTCATTATGTTATCCTTGTTATATTATTTGTCTTCGAACTACACATGTTATTATACGTATATGTGCTTGCTTAAGTTAAATGTTATTCTGTACACAGACAATCCTTTTCATCGTTACTTTTCATTTGTTCAAATGAATTGGCAGTGTTCCGAATTTGTTTTATAATTTACCTTCTATTTTTTTAATAAAATATACTTTATTTTATTTCTTTATTGTTAAAATGAAAGAAAGTGCTATTCTATTCCTTAAATTTAGTAATTGTGTTCATTTTTATTTGAAGGTTACTTAAATACTTGTTTGTTTATTTGTTTGTTTGCGTTCGCCGATTGTTTGAAATAATACAACTTGTACATTTTATTGTTATATTAAGGAGGTACTTTGTATGTAATCAACACGTTGCATAATAGTTTTAGAAAATTCCGCCTCATTGCATAAATGTAATCATCATGGATAGTTTAATTAGTAACTAGATATTTAGGAATTTAAACGGTGTTATCATATTCAGGTCTTAAAAAGAGAATCACAAATCCAATGTCGCTTTAGCTACTCAGTTACATGTACCACCGTGAACATTTAGTCATTCAAAAACAGTACTAGTCCGTAACATGATAGCTTACAAAGCGGTTTTTTGGACATCTGTTACTGTTAAAATATTCATCATTTCCTAATAAGTATTAATTCTTTGGATGGTATATGACTAATCATTTCGATCGTCAACTATAATTATTGTTTTTGATCCGAACAAGGTAACGAATTCGGATACTAGTTTTGTTCGGCATAAGGGTTTCATTACTCTGCCGAAAATCCTTAATAATCAGTGAAATATCTGTAATAATTTCCAACTAATAATACTATTTTCAAAACATGTAATTTGTTTGATAACAATATAATTATGTTGACATACGTATAAACGCTCAAAACACCTGGAAAATAAATCTAGTATTATTCGATAATTTAGCTTTGGTTTGTCATATTTAAGAGTCTTATTCGCATAAAAGTCGTGTTCTATCTGTTTATACTAAAAAAAGTAAGCTAATTAAATCACTTAGTAATTGATCATTTAAAGAAATGTCATGAGTTTCATTAGGAAAACAATGACTTTCATCCCATTTCTTTGTTTATTTGATCTTTCGACTTAGCTGTTTTAAATATTCATATAGCCAAATTTCGTTGAATAGTACATATCACCTAATTATTACGTTCAAAATATGTTAAGATATGATAGGATTATTCATATATACAGGAAATTATTAAACACCTGTTTGGTTGTTTTTGGTTCAGTTAGGATTACGTAAAACTTCGTGAACAGTTCCACATAGAGAATTCTATCAGTTTGGGAAATATATTATTCGACTATATATCTAATTATTGATTGGTTAAACGTTGGGAATATAAGGAGTTTCCGGACGTTATTGGTAAACGGTATAGACATTTTATGTCTACTGTTCATAGTCATTAGACTTTAACCCTACATCACTCAAAATTGATCTTTAACATATTTAGTCTCATGAATCCTTATCTTCAGTTTATTAGTCAGCTGTGTTTGTACAGAAATCGATCAATAATGGCGAAATTTAAGCTAGTAAAACTACTCGGTAGTCAAATACATTAATAAATTCAGGATGAGCATGTATAACCCTATTTCGATTAACTAGTGGATTTCTACGACTTTGTTTACTGTAAAGAAGCAAATTTTAAACAATACATCGATTTAAATACTTAACCCTTGACCGTCGATTTTCTGTACACTCGAACACATCGATTATTTTATTTTGAACGGCAGATTGCTGTCCTAAACCGTTTTTAGCTTCAACCGGTTTGATGTTATCTAGTCAAGCAGTTAGTAAGAAATTAAAAGCAAACTATAGCTTGTTAGGTTTTGTCCCGTTCAATAAAATTCGAAATGATTATTCATTTATTATGATTTGCTCATGCTCATTTGCAGTGTTTCCCTAATTCTTTTGGACAGGATCGTTTATGTGGAGTGTGATATTAAACACATTTCAAAACCAATAACAATTAAGTTACTTTTATGGTAAGTTTTGTTTGAAGTTTACGTTCAACCGTTCATAAGTAGCAATCAACCTGTCACTACCGAACATTGGTACAAATGTCACCTTAACACGAAAATAAATCAACCAGATGATACTCTATAAATGTTCAATTTACCGACTGAAAAATGATTTTTTTTTCTTGTTCTACAGGTGACTAAGGTTAACAGAAGTCAATTGAATTTAGTATATCCATTCTTAGATTTCATCACTCACCAGTCAGTCATTGTCAACGTAAACCGTGGCCGAAGTTGCCAAATCATATTAGTACGATGCGATGAAATTATGAGGTCTAGTCTAGTTATGTTTAGACTAATCACGTACCGTTAAAGTGCAACTAATCACAATTTCGTTTAGACTCATCTTAGAGCAATAATTTTTGTGCAGGGACTTGTAATCCTATCTCAATCCGTTTTTCAGATTCTCTTTGTAGAATATCGATATACTTACAAATAATCAGATGTCTAAACATTTATTATGGTTCTCCCACATTGATCGGTGTAGGGTTGCAGAAACTGAGGGAGTGTACTGATACTTAAAGTGTTGTTTTTTTCCTGAGATTTATTACACAAATTATTGGACACCCTGAGCTTTATCGTTACTACTAAACTATTTTGACTGAACTACCATCATTTCACTACCAGACCAAAGTTCTTATTTTTACAATACTGAATTAATATCTGCTCGTTCACGTTGTTCTTTTTCACCAAATTCTAATCTCACAGAACAACAGAATTCATGATAATTTTGTAAGAAATAATCATGCAATATGGAAAATTGTAAAATTAATCTAATTGGAAATTCAACGGATGTTGAACTGATCACTTCTCTCGAAGATTATAAAGAACCGGTGCGTAGAGTGCGTCCAGATGCATGTAGAAAGTCTATACAAGCAAGAAGAGTATGTTTCATTTATTAATCTCAATTTTTTACTGGTAGGAATATCTTTTCAATTAATGAGTGTCTAAATAAGCATTACATTTTTCCTTCTCTGGCAACATGTCAAAGTGCAATGTGTTTTGTGTTTAATAACAGTTTTCTGTATTCTATCCCGTCTATTATTGGAGTTTTATTCTTACATCAGGTGAAAATCTTGATAATTTGTGTTAATTAATAATAATCATTCTAAATGAAAAATGACAATATTTTTCTTGCAGTTGGTTCTCTTCACAAAAATTACTGCAAAAATTAACGCGATTATGTTTGTTGTATACAATGAATTCATTGTAGTTTGATACTGTCTCTTTACACCTACTTTGTACAAGATAATAAGTTCGAACTTTTCGATAAATATTTACGTATTTGACAATTAAAAGTATGAGTTTTGTGGAGATTGTTCAATGCTATTGATATGATGAATCATTGAAAGCATGGCAGCTCTGGACAGTTGTTTTATCCTGTTATGGGACTACCCAACCGTGTAGATTCACAGCCCTACAACTTGAAGTCGAGCCCAGGGCCTTCGGTCTCGCGCCAAAATGCTTAACATCTACATCGTGTACAATTCTAACTCTAATCAATGCTGTGTATTGCGCGACCATCTCCCATTGTCCTCGGTGGGTACCTTCGTGTCTAACATAGTTGGGCTTCCCTGGTCAACATTTCTCACTTCAACTCCGGAATTTTCTATCGAAGTTAGCCGCTAAAAAAGCATATGATGATTATCAATATATGGATTGCGCAGATTGTTAGATATTAATGAGATTACGAATCAATCAAAGTTAGACAACCACTGAAAACCTTGAAGCATCTCACAACAAATATATTGTTCATCAGTGAGTAGTATATTGTATATAAGATGAAATGACAACTTACTTTAACTGAAATAGTTTTGGCAGCATAGTTTTAGCATGATTTTCCTAGAATATTATCAAAAATAATTTTATTACACCGAAACGTTTTATGACTACAAAGAGATGAACAAAATTAAACTTACTAAATTGTAAGTAATGAGTTCTTATTGTTCATTTCTGTTACTAAGACTACTTTACACCTTTACTTTTAAAGCCTGTTGCATTCATTGAACACAAATCAATCGATCGTGTGCTGCTTAATTTTTTTTATTGTAAAGTGATTCAGTTTCTTTTTCATGTGGCAGTAACTTAGATGAAGTCATCATAATAAAGGTAATGGAGTAAATTCATTATGATTTATTTTCGAAATTCTCTTTAGCTGCCTAAATAAATTTATATTCACTTGGCAGGGTGGTGGTGATTGAAATGAAAATAATATTGTGAATGTCATTTAATCAAGTACATTAGGATTGGAGAAATTCTTGTATGAGCTATCCAGAATGGTGTTTATTTGTGTGAGATTTCAATTATTATTCGATGAAGTGGGAAACAGTAGTTGGGCAGGTTTTTCTATTAAAGAGTCACAGGGACTCATCTATTACATCAAACAAGCTATTGATACATATATTTTTATTTAGGATATTGAAATACATCAGTTATCAATGAAACTGATATATTCCGACGAGAATAATGAATGTTAACTGTTAAGATCTATTTATGGACTAAGATTATACATGTATTTTTTTATCGTATCATTGTTAGATGACGAAACTATGCATATTCATGTTCCTCTTATTATAAGCTTTATTTTGACCCACAGACTATTATTATACGATTTACCGTTCTTGAATTATGTCTAGTCTATCAATTACAGTTTCCAACATTCACAGCCACTTTCTCGTAGATCTTGTACAAATGTTGTTTTCTATTTTATGTGATGTAGTCTGTTTGGTTTGGATATAAACTTAGTATGTTTGAAATACATGATTCATATCGCGGAGGCTGATATTTGTGTTCTAGACTCAACAAACAGGGCTAGGCAGGGAGAAGGACCGATAAGGATTCTAGACTGCTCGTACGGGTTCTTGTATCATTGGTCCGGTCGACAAGTCACTGTTCCCTAATTGGCGGTATCACTACGTTATATATTAATAGGACAGAAGGCCGCAAGTTATAGCAGAAACTAACACAATGATTAGCATAAGCAATACCATTTTATCAATATGTGCAGCTGTGCGTAATTTCTTACTAGTGCATTGTTATCTGAAATTATTTTACTTATTATGAGGCATAATACTGAATCTATCTTGACTTACATCTGTGAATTGAGATCTGAATCTGAACTATTTGAAGTTCATACATGAAATAGGTACTTCATAAATGTGATTCAACTCGTAAACTGGACATTCTGTGAATCTTACTCTGTTTTATTGCCGAATAGAATTCAGTCAGCGTTGAGTCCTTAAAGCACTCATTCAGGTCGTCATGAGTGTACAAGTCTATAAACTCCATATTATTTACTTAAGAATAATTAAATCGTTTATTATTTTCTGTCCTGTTAATTGACTTGTAATTTATTCAGTTGTTTAACTATTTGTTAACACCCACCAAACCTTCCATTCTCTATGTAGTATGTTGTTCTGTATATGTTAACACAGAATAACACATCATAGACTTAAAGGATTTACATCTATGAATAAATCAAACTTGTGTTAATTGATGTAAGAGTCTCTAATCAAAGTTTAACATTCATTCAACTGTAATGATTAATTTATTTAATAAAATTAATTAATGGACGATTTAAAAATTGTATATTTTACAACATTTTCAGTGTGTTCAACATTTGAAAAGATTGAAAACGCGTTCAAGTAAACTTCAGTACAATTCAACTATTCAAGATAACCAATATCAACTATCATACGAACTGTTTAATTCAATGCAAGATCTAGGTTCAATCTCCTTAACTTTAAATAATAATAATAATAACAACAACAATAATAATAATAATACTAGTAACTGTTCACAACTTCCTCAACGAAAAAACATTCTTTCATATAGAGATTATTTAGCCTTACCAATTGAAATACGTTATCCATACAATTACGTCAGTGATTTATTTGAAGATGCTCATCCTGAAAATGCTGACAGCAATCGGAATAATAATAATTATGAAGAGTAAATAATATAGTTATGTTAACATCTGAAAAGGGGATAAACCAACTTTACTACATACAGATAATATATTAACCAATTGATTTCATTTTTTATCATTTCAATAGTGATGTGTTTATTTATATAAATAAAAAATTACATTTCACATTTGTCTAAACATTTTTCCATCTCTTTTGTTTCGTTTTTGTTAAAAGTAACACTGAGTATTTTGAACAGTGTTACTGCGCAACAGAACGAAACGACTAGTTTACTGTTATATGTAATTGACACCAAATTCTAGTCGATATTTTAGAAATAATAAAGGAATTTGTAGTGGTTTTCATCTCAATACAATAACGAAAATTTAAAAATCATAGAAAGGGGTGTAACGTTAGCCTACGGTAGGTTCGCGTATAGTCTGAAGATACCTTCTGTGCTGGAGGAGTGTCAGGAGCAGTAAGTGGAATTATCTGGAAGAAAAAAGAACAGGAGGAAATGTTTGCTGACGACTCAACAAGCACATAGCATGCACTTACATTAAAAAACAAAGGCAAATGACAACAATCAGAAATAAAACGAGTTTGAGATTATTACAATCTGATAATTGGAACAATAAGTTGATAGTGTAAGGTTTCAAATGTGTTACAGGAGTTAAACTTTCTAACCTTACTTAGTTACGCTTGTTAAACCTTGGGGAGGAGCACAGGCCGCTAACCAACATTCTCCATCCAACTCTGTCCTGGGCAATTCTTTCCAGTTGCTATTCATCCATTTCCTGTCTGCTCCCAAGTTCTGACGTATTGTGTTCTTAGGCCTTCCCCTTCAGGATTCCAAATTAGGGCTTGCCTTGTGGTGCAGATTGGTGATTTCCATAATGTATGTCCTATCCACTTCCAACGTCTTCTCTTAATTTCCCGTTCAGATGGAAGATGGTTTGTCCTCTCCCACTGGACGGCCGTTTCGACCTAGTTGTTAGGAGTTAGACATTAACACCAATAAATTTTGACTCAGTGGTCTAATGGTTAAGCGATCGACTGATAGGTTCTGGGTCCGGAACTCGCAGGGGGCGGGGTCGTGGATGCGCAGTGCTTAGGAGTCCTATACTAGGCTGGAACGGCCGTCCAGTGCTCCCAGGTTTTCCATGGTGGTCTAGCTTCAATTGACTTATGATTTCAACTATTGAAATTACTAAAATATCCACAAAACCCCTTCTGAAAATATATATTCGACAATAGGTAACACTAAAATTCAAAGTACATATTTCATCCTTTTTCTGTGTTCATCATCATTTTATATACCTGTGTGTCTGAATCTTAAATTCGTTCCTGAATGTTGACATCGCAGAAGTACAAGCTCTTGTAAGGCTAAATAATTGACAGCTATCCCGACTTACTAGCTTGGCATATATCAGCCTAGTGTTTTCAGCCATAAGTATTAGATTTTGGTCCCATTAAATATACAGATACAGGTTCATTCATCTGATAAGTCCTAAATCGAATTGACTTCATCAAACTTATCTTACATTTATCAGCTCTAATATCTCACACAAAAGTTGTCATCGTATGAACTGATCCATATGAACATTTCATATATATGTAGATTTTGGTCTAATCGCTTTCATTGTAATTGGAAATTAATTATAACTATTAATCGAGTGTTTATTTGAAATAAATCTTAGAAATTGTTTTCATTCAACCAATTGGAAATGCTGCAACATATCTATGAATAAGAAATATTTTAGAGAGATGAGGACTTTTTTAGTGTTAATCAACTAATATCAATGAAATAATAACTACAGTTTACTAATACATTTGTCACTAAACATGTTCATAAATAAAAAAGAATTTCATGGTATTTCGCTTTAAATTATGATATAGAACATAACCAACCAAGGATTAAAGAAATCAAATTTTAGAAATAGAGATATTTTCTGAAATAAACTTCAGTTTCAGTTAATAGGTCACGTTTCATTGCTTTGTTCAGTGGAGTAGTTTACTTATTTTCAGTATTGATTTGATTTGTACCATCTCCAGATGTGCATGTTTCTTTGTTAGATCGTTGTATACTTTTTTATTAACTTGATACCTGGGAGTAAAACATGACCCTTCTGCCTTTTCATGAATCGAATCCCCATCCTTAAATTTTGAGTCAACGTCACCACCAATTCAAATTTGTTCATACGCAAAATATGAAGAATATTCGTAACTACTGGTTACAAACAAGTAGTATAGGTTGAATACCGAAGATTTCAGGACGTTGATGGCTGGATGGTATGAATGTCAGCTATGACGCAGACGAAGTTTCTTAAACATCGGTCATGAAGTATTAAGAATAGATTATATCTAAAAATATTTGTCATAGGCTCAGTGACCGAAATCTCCCCATTTTACTAGGTCACTCAAGAACCAGTAGGTACATACCCGATATCTTGATACTGAATAGTTATAGATAATCAATCCTATGCTTGAGGCAAAAGCTTTGTGTTTGTATTAACTGTAGTTAATGTTGACCAACTTTGGGACTTATTATAAGACTGGGAAATTGATATTTGAAGTTACAATCGTATCTGTAAACAAAAGTTGGCTAAACTATTAATTAAATGGTTTGAAACTATTAGATATTCGTTTTTTCTGAACATTTAAATATTTAATTTTTCTATTGAAAATGTACTTCTGTTTATTTGACTGTCGATTAATGATTATTTCTCAACTTCCTGTCCACTTCGAATCTCTCATTGGCTTATTTGCTTTCCACTCTGGAATAAGCCTGCATCTAAATATATTTCTCTAATTATCTTCTTGATTCCCTATTCAGCACAGTCTGAAAAATAGTGTGTCAGTAGTTTAAGGCATTTAAGTACTGTCATTGTTATAACCCAGTGAAGATTAAGTTACAGGTAACTTCCGAGGACTGTTAATATACTAATATTATATAAATATTCTTATTGTATAATTATTTAATAATTGGATTATATGTATTTATACTCCCTTAATTATAAGCTTTATTTTGACCTATAATTTATTATTATACGATTTACGGTTCTTAATCTATGTTCAGTCTATTAATTACTATCTCCCGCGTTCATAGCCACTTTTTGACTTGTTTGTGTACACATGCTATTTTCTATTTTATGGTACGTTGTGGTCTGGCTGATTGGTATATAAACAGAGTATGTTTGAAATACATATATTCATATTGCGGAAGCTAGTATTGCGTTTTATTTGGACTCAAGCAGACGGGCTAGAGGGACCTCGTACCAACCAGGCGCCGGTTGAACGTCATTGGTTGGCATAGAGTGAAGATTTGTATAAGTCGTATTCTGATTGGTGGATAATTCGCGTGGTAGAAAGGTCAGACATCAAGGTCATAACAGTCACAGCATCCACAAACTATTTGACTTTAAAATGCTCATGGTCTGACTTCATTATGATCCAATCGTATTGATGCTAATGAAATATGTGTCCTACACACTTCACACGTATTCCGTCGATAAATCCCGTTAATAATAACGTAGATATAAAAAGTCGAGTACAAAAGTATTTGAGGTGTCTATATTTCAGACATTCAGTAATGCAGTCGAACGATAAGATACGAAGAAAATGCATGTAAACAGGAAAGGCAGAAATAAACAACTCCAAGTGACAATGTTTATAAACACGAGAGAAATACAAGTAAATACACCAACACAAACGTACTATCATACACGTAAAATGCATGATCAAGCTTAAATTTGTGTAGTTGGCGGGATCATGTGTGAGCAACAAGATAAATGGAAAGATGAGATTAATTTGTCGATCCAAAAGTTAGGATAAATTAAATTGGGTGTGCGATGAAATAGAAGCTCCCATAACTTGATAGAGAACTTTCTCACATGGAAGGTTAAAGTGGTCTTGATAGCACATTTGTTCAGTATTAAAATTTCACATCACCTTTTATACTGTACTGCATTTGACTGAAAGCAGAACATTTAATCCGCTTTGCGAGATTGTTTTCAGAATGCAGTGATTCATTTAGTGAACTTTTATCATGCAGTGAAAAGATTTAAATTGATATCATGAATGGATAAATATTAGACCACCATTGAAAACCTGGAAGCACAGGACGACCGTTTGATCCTAGTATAGGACGAATACTTAATCATCATCTGTAGTGACCTAACTTTATCAAGAGAACGCGATTGGTTTAATGGAAACAATTATTATTATAACCAATTGTACCAATGATTGTTTTACTGTACTTGTTTGTTTAACTGTACTGAAGGCATACTTTCTTCCGTTGATTGTGACCTTGCACGAATTCGGTTACGCTCAGTATTCACACTTTTAACCTGGCACGATCTCAGTATTCTTTTGATATCACGAGATCGCTAACAAATACATCTCAACTACAGCCACCAACTGCCTTCTGATATTTGGCCTACGGATGGATCTTATCGGTTAACTGGCACGTAGTCTTCCTGTAGTGGTGATCATAGTGAACCGCGACTCGACGCCACAGTACACATCTTGATGAACATGGGCAACTTTCGATAATCATGTTTTTAGTTCAACTGACTGAAGATAAGTATGAATTCCCTCGTAACCTTTTTTACAAACACTCGAACGATTGGAAATTAGTAAAACTCAGATCATTTATTACTATTTTAACCCAAGTATTCATTATTGTTTTAATTTCTCATCGTATGTATCAGATTTATTATGGGAAAAGAAAAATGGCCTTGATACATTTTCATGCATTGTAGCAACTGAATTCGCCTGATGGTTGAGTATACAATCAATAAAGGGGTCTACTTTTAAACAGATCAATATACTATATTCCACACAGTGCACTAATTCATTCTTTTTCAAAGTTGAGCATACTTTCTGACTGATGTAAATATACAAATAGCTTCATATGGGGAATAAAGGTTAGGGAATCAAGACAGTTGAAAATTTAGCAGACAATAAAATTATATTATTTGATCCAAATACACATAACCATATTAAACGATGATTTTGTATTCATATCAAATTAATGAATAGTAAAGGAATTTTTCAAATTTCATATTGGCTTCACCTCAGAGTTCTAATGCGAATTTAATTCACTGAACAGTTACATCATCAAATTAAATAAATGAATTGACGAGACGAAAGGAAAAGCGGTAAACAGCTAGGGTGTTTAACCACTATGAAATCACGAGTTTCGTAATTATGAAATGTTGGTTGTCAAATGTAGACTTTTGGTGGAGTTTTGTTCTCTTAACTGGATGGTTTGATTGTAGGGATTTCGTCGTTATTCTGGACGACATCACCAGTGAATTGTTCGAATTTCTCCTCATATGGCTCACAGATTGTCCTGTAGACCTCAATCTTGATTGGTTATTGTTAACCTTTAACCTGACATTGTTAACTTCTTTATTTTGATTGTATCTCCCATCCAGCTCAGAGAACAAAACTCCATCAAAATCATCCACCTGAGCTACAAATCTTCTTTACCATCTCACAAAGATGACGAAAACACTGCAGTTGAAGGGTTTCTACTCATCTAACTAACTAATTTTTCAAAGAATGTTGTTGATTTAAAATCGAAATAGATCGAGTTCTACTGAAATATATACTGATTGGTAAAAGCAGTCATTTGAGCATAGGCCACTACGTTTTTATAAAATTGGCAAACAACACATAACATTTTAACAACATTTATTAGATAGAAAGATAAACATAGTGAGCGGCGGTCATGATGTTTTTTTTAATACTATGCACTCATTTAATTAGTTACGAGAATTTATTGTTTAACGCTCCACTAAATACACGTAAGAAGTTGGGTGAGAAAATGTTACTGAAACTGAATCCCATTCCTGTTTTGAATAAAAACAAAAATGTCTAATTCATTTTGGATATTTTAATGAAGGAGCCAGAATTTAAATTTGTGTACAGAACAAATCTATGTAAAGAATAAAATATTCTAACTGAAAATTGATCGTGCATATATTCAGCTGAATGAAACAAAAACAACAATAAAATTGGTTATTAGTAAAACAAAATCACATTTAGTCATTTCTTCCTCTTTTTACGGGCATATACATATCGACATAACAATAATTACTTGTTTAATTACTCTTGTTAAACCTTGTGGAGGAGCACAGACCGCTCAACAACATTCTCCATCCAACTCTGTCCTGGGCAATTCTCTCCAGTTGCTATTCATCCATTTCCTGTCTGCTCCCAAGTTCTGACGTATTGTGTTCTTAGGCCTTCCCCTTCAGGATTCCAAATTAGGGCTTGCCTTGTGGTGCAGATTGGTGATTTCCATAATGTATGTCCTATCCACTTCCAACGTCTTCTCTTAATTTCCCGTTCAGATGGAAGCTGGTTTGTCCTCTCCCACAGTAGGCTGTTGCTGATTGTATCCGACCAACGAACATCGAGTATCTTGAGTAGACAACTGTTTATAAATACTTGTACCTTTTTGATGATGGTTGTAGTAGTTCTCCACGTTTCAGCTCCGTACAGTAGGACAATTTTGACGTTCGTATTGAAGATATTCACTTTGATATTGGTTGACATTTGTTTTGAGTTCCATATCTTCTTCAATTGCAGGAATGAGGCTCTTGCTTTGGCGATCCTTGCGTTTACGTCTGCATCAGATCTTCCTTGTTCATCGATGATGCTCTCCAGGTACGTGAAAGATCCCACAACTTCCAGAGCTTGTCCATGAAGTGTGATTGTGTTGATGTTCTTCGTACTGTATTTGAGGATCTTGCTTTTTTCCCTTGTCTATGTTGAGGGCCAATGATGCAGAGGCTTCTGCTAGACTAGTTGTCTTCATCTTCATTTGTTCATGTGTACGGTATAGATGGGCCATGTCATCTGCGAAGTCCAAATCTTATAATCGATTCCGAACTGTCCATTGTATTCCGTGCTTTCTACAACAATAATTACTTCGGTTGAATTTCGCTATGCAAAAGAGGATTAGTGAAAAAATAACTTATTCATTGAAACAATGTAAATGGAGAACAAATTTCAAATAAACCGCACTCATTATTCACATCAATGTGGAACAGATTGAATTCACTGAAAGTGGAACCATTTTTCTCCTGAGAAAAAATTGGATCAAAATGGTTAATATCGAAATAGAAACATTTGTTCAGAGATAATAATTGGAAAGATTTAAAGTGAACTGATATTTTTAAAACTAATGAATAATTCGACAGCAGTTTTATGGGTAATATCAACTTTATGGCGTCTTACAGTCACAAAAATATTAAAAGAAATAATTTTGGATTTTCAAAGAAGAAATGTCTTGACTTCATTTGTGATATTATCGTTAAGGTGGTGAGGAAAATTGGTAAATGTTGTATGCGTTTGCTAAAATTGTGCTTTTTGAATTAATTGGTCTAACTCCGATGATGTTCAGAATAACGATGAAAGCTTCACGACTAAACCATCCAGCTCCGAGAACAAAACTCCACCTGAGCTACAAACCTTTACCATCTCAATGTCGACTGTTTTTTTTTAATTTTCACTAATGGAAATTAACCAATTGTTAAAAGTCACATTGAGATACATCAGTCTATAAATATGCCCAGGTTGCACGAATTGTCGCATAACTATTCTCAAGACATACTTAACCAAGTGGCTTACTCAAATTACATGCTTCTCTTTATCAGTTGGTAAATATCACGTAAGAATAATAAATTTTCTGAAACGCATAAACCAACCCGAGATTTGTAGGTGAATTTTGTCCCACAGTTTTTGTAGTCGAGTTAAACTTGACCACAAAGGTGAATTTAATTCTAAACATTTGGTAGTAAAAGAGTAGGTTCATAAACCCACAAACTTTAATAGTCAATAGCCTTGACGGATTTACTGTTCTTATTCTCATCCTCTGACCCAAATAATATTTTAACCAATTAAAATAGAGAAACTAGAAATAAAGGTGGAATTACACGACTGATCAAAAATACAATTTTGCATTTCCGTTTCTATTTGGCTACATTTTGGTGACCTTGTAAGGAGGATTAAACTACTTGTGTGACTGCCTGATCAGATTAGTCATAAAGCGTCCACAAATCATTTTCTATATTGTTTTCATTTTTGTCCTAGCTGATGAGCTCATTACTGTTATGCACACAAGATTATTTGAAATGCACCCGTTTCTTCCTATTCGTTCACTCTTCAAGTTGTTTTACATTACATCTGCTTTCTGCACTCTATTCAGACCCGATGTTTTCCGGTTCAATCATGACGATGTAGTTTGTGAGGGAGATCACTACTTATTTAACTGTGAACTCAGTGAATATTTAGCTGATGGAGTATTGGGGATTTACAAGCTGGAAAATGAATTTATCCCTGCTAATTTGAGTGCCCGAGAGAAAGAGGTGGCAGAAATTTTCAAAAAGGATCCCTATCCCAATTTGGTCATATGGTCTCTAAGAGAGATTTTCGAAGAACACGGAGTTCATAAATGGGTAAGTACCTGATGTGAAGAAGTGTTGGGAGTATCTAGTCTATTAAAATATATGTCACCATTATGGTTCACTTTAATTAATTTCAGGATTAATAGTGTTTTTCGATTCAAAATCTTGGGATTTGGTTTCTAGAGACCTGGAAATAGTCTTTATTCTAATAAATAGTGAAATCAATAAGAGGTTTCCTCAAACACAGCAACATGAAGCACGATAATGACCTGGATTCTTTTACCAGGTCAAGATGGTTCAAGCTTTTCCAATTACTTTGAATTATCCACTAAACGGCTGAATTTCCTCATTAAATTCTTTTGTTGTAATCACAACACTTCAAGCTTTTTTGTAACAGTTGAATAAAAAAAATTATCTCTGCGATGCCAACAATCTAAGAGGCTAATGACTACTCACATAGTATCTACAAGTATGACAGTAGCAGGCGACCATCAAGATTGACGAATTATTGAGGTAAACTAGTGTTGCCAAATCCTGTCACGAAGTTATAATTTTTGGGATGGCATCTGAGATATTAAGGAAGTTGGAACTGTGACTAATTCCTTTTTCTTTCTACAATTATAGCATGTCTCAAATTAACAATACTTACGTACCGTCTAACAATTCACATGGTTTCGGTCTCGCTTCATTGTTGATGATAAGTAGATTAGAGCACCCTTTTATGTTTTGACGTTTGTGGTCTTATATCCTTTAGTGACTGAAATTATTGAGAAATACGTTATCCCTATTTCTCATTAATGTGCTGGAAACGAGGCAATAATTAACCATTAGGAATATTAGGATAATACGTTGGTTACAAATATGAGGGATTTCAGTATTGGTCACGCTCCACTGTCAGGAGAATTCTTACGTCTTATTATAATCGCTTTCCAATATTTAGCGTTTTGGTTCAAGTAAGTGGCCGTACGTTATTGTATGCAAGCAAACTCATATAATTGGCTGATTGATATGTTACACATTATCTAGAGTGTGGTACCAGATTACCTAACACACTTCCTTAGACTAAGAATGCGTAGTACTAGGCGTAATCTGTATGTTTAAACTACTGAGTACCACGTTAATACAGATTGAGTTTTATTCACTTGATAATTTTAATTTGCAATCAGTACTAGCTACTATATTTTATCAAGTGCTTGTCAAGTGCTACCTACTTACTATAGCTAATAGGAGAGTCCATTCTCGAATAAACTGACTTTAGTTCTCATCTAAGATAACCTTCGGAAACCCAATACTCATCATGAAGAAAATGCAATATTCTTCGTCCTGACAAGCTGACGCAAGTATACCACTCTACCATAAACTGTATTCCACAGCTACTTAGTGATCGATAGGTAGGACTTTTAAATCTAAATTCCTTAACATCCAGATAACAACGTCTGAAAATGAGCAGTTACCCAGTTTGTAAATGTGCTTTCACTTCCCGAAATTCTCGCTTGTCTGAAAGGAGCACGATGTGGTAACGGTAACAAGAAGTTATTTTTGTTAATTATGTATATATTTGAAAACAATTCTTTCGTATTCATTACGTTTTTGATAGATATGAAGTAAAGTGATTATATTAAGCTTAATGATGAAGTCTATCAGAGAACAAAATCCAATCTGGTTCTACATTCCTGAAATAACTACAACTACCATAATAGACAGTAATAACTACTGAATACACTCCAGTCTCATTGTCTTAATTTTAACATGTGCTTACTGATTTATCAAATCTCTTTAATTTCGAAAACGTTTAACCGTTATCGTCGGCATTTGTCTCCACAGTGATTTTTATCGTCTTATCGGTAAATTACTTTCGTAGTCACTAGAGTGAAGGCTTTTTCAATGTGCAAAAACTATTATTTTATAAAGACTTTCGTAGGAAAATTATCTCAGTACTATTCATATTGTTTTGGGGGAGATCTTCGTAATACACTTCGTTTGGTACTTTTGACTATGATGTAAGGTATGGAACATTTCATATGAATAGTTCCACAGTAGTTGGGCACCAAATTATTGTAAGGCATTAAGATGATTATATTAGTAAAAACCTTAGCGTTTGTTCAATCGAATAAGTCTTATCCTACCAGTATTTTCCTGACTGAAATATTCCGTTGGTAAAATAATTCGCTGTGAATATTTTTAGTTTTATTTCTCTAATGAGGTTAAACGACGTTTCAAAATCTAGTGTACTATCTTTGAAATAACTATTTTGAAATAATAACCAGAATACTAATATTCTGCTTCTCATGGTACCACATTAGACATAGTCTCCGTATTCTAGGACAAATACAAGTTAGGTTTCAAGATAAGTGGGAGCCGTTTTGGTTCTATCTTACTAAAAGGATGTTTCGGATGACCACACCTTTGATAACCTGGTATCTTTTCTATAACGGTAAAGTTTTGGAATACAATAACTAAGGTGATTATATTCATGATTTATTGCATTGAAATGTTTTAGTATATATAGAGTTTCTAACCTTTATATATTGATATGGATCACTCCTAAGTTATTTCCTTTAGTTATTCGGTTTCATCCTGCTTTTTCCCCTTTTGAAAGACATAGAATACATCTTACCGTTATGTGAATATGAGCTTGTTTATTGCTCTGAGCTGGATTGGTTTCTATTCATTCGGTCTGATAAGTCATGCATTTGCTAATTACTCGACATTATCTTGTGCACATTGTAACTATCGGGTTCAAACCCCGCTGTGTTTAATTTCGCTTAGGAAGCTGTGTAGTAGTATCTTTAATCCTCATAAAGTGCAGTTCACATCTAAGTATGTGATCTTGTGCTTGGCATACGGTTTGCATCACGATCGGTTAAACATTCTTTGCAGGCTGTGTCTGATACATTGGACACATACAGTAGTTTCCACGCTTGTCAACGTGAACCTGTATTTTTGTGTCTACATACTACTATACTAGTGTAAACTTAGTATTCAGTCAGTCAGCTAGCTACAATGTAGGACCAGGCACATATATGCATCGGTCCAAGTTGCCATACCACATTAACACAACATGAAGGACACCGGATTCATAAAAGTAGTTAATTCAGAGGTTACAATAAGGATATAGTACAGGAAGAAAGGATTAGTTCGTGAACGTGATCAAGTTAGCTAAGTTGTTTATCATAAGATGTGAAAAAGTTTCCAAGTTACCAGATAAAATAAGTAGCAGTTTCTTGAGTTGTATTGATAATCCTAAGCTCCTTGGTTTCAGTGCCTTATCAAAGAACTACGTTACAACGTGAGTACAAAAAGGGTAATTTCAATTACAATATTCCAAGTGGTAGAATGAAGTTGACAGAGTATCTGTTATTAATTAGCACTTTGCAATTGGTCCATTCAGATGATGATCAGAATGTTTTCTATAGTCATATATTTTCTAATTGAATATTATTCAACTATTTGCATTCATGTACATCTTAAATTTACAGGCATTGTAAATTATATCATAGTTTCCAAGATGTATTTATTTATTGTCAGTAATTTACTTTATTGATTATCACTTTAATTGGTTAAATTATTAATTTCCAGAATCAAACTTACGATCGAGATCACAAAACATTTAAATATAGATATGGACCATTGACTCAAAATGATTCTGGACTTTATTATTGTCGTTTTATTATTCCTGGTGAATATTCGACTTTAATGTCGACTTACATGAAACTTGAAGTTAATATGAAGTGTCCTAAACGTAAGAATATTTTAATATATCAGAAGTCTATTATGATTTGGTTCCATTTAGTGATATTTAATGAATTTAATGCCAGTCTTCACTTGAAGTTGATCCCACCGCGAAGAAACTTTACAAAATCAGATGTTACTTCGGGATCGTTTTTTTCTATTTTCATGCATTTTAATATTTCATGCTACTAATCTGTTGTGTAGAAGAGGTTTAAATAATAAGTTGACTTCCTAATACTCCTCAATTTCCAATAGAGTATCGATCTGCGGTAATAATAGATTTGAAATATGCTGTTGACTTGCACAGGGAATTTAGTTCTGCACAATATCCTTGACGCCCTGTATCTTCTTTTCATAGGAAATAAATATTTAGAACATCGTTTAGTAATTAGAATTCAATACTACACTGTATTTTTCCGGGAGAAAAGAATTTTTAAAATAAATAAAATCCATTAGAGACGGAATTTTTCTGGATTAAGATAATGCTTTTTGACAGAATACTATTAAAAGTATCGTTTTCTGGTTGAGCAAAATAGAGCCCTCTGGGTTTTATAATGACGATAATGGATGTCTCTAGTTGAAACGATGAATAGAATCTTAGTGGATGCATGATGTACAATCATACAGTGTAATTGGCTGACAAGTGCTTACAAAGCCGAATCATTGATGTAAACATTCGGACTGATATTAAAAGACAACCAAACTGCTGGGAGAATAGATTGTTTCTGTATTAAAATAACATGCTTATATACAAAGTCTTAACCCTAAAATGTAAACATTATTTGAAGTAATTTGGAAGATACAGGTTACGGTAAGGCAGATTTTTCTTATGTCACATGCCAATGAAATTAGAACCGGGCTCATAGTTTTTATTCATAATCATTGTATCAGGGTCTGAAATCTTTTTTATGCGTGTAAATTCAAGTTAGTGTTATAATCACCAAATAACTGAATGACAGCCCGATATACGTCTTGGAAATTATTGTCTTATTTTCATCAGTCACTGACTTCGATTGGCATTTAGTATGAATCTCTTTATTTTAACTAATGAAGAATAAACATATTAAGTTAGAACAGAGAAGAAAGATGGAGGACTCATCTACTACATCATTGTCGACTTCATGGTGTTTTTCAGTCCTAACTACATAAGCTATATATCTCGATGATTGCTTCAAATCAATTTCAGTTTCAACGCAGATTACAAATTATTATCACCTAACTCATTTGTTTATACTATGTATTGATTCCTATGTATTTTATTCCTTTCTAAACTTCTATTGGGACGAAAATTGCACTTTGATATATACAGTTAGTGAATGTCAGTGACCTAATTTGTTTTATCTTCACTATGTATATTTCATTTTGGCAGACTCATCATTCACGAGCTATCTTTAAGTCATGGAGTTATCTTTAAACTATTAATAGTCACATAACTTTGTCTGAATTTGTCTGGATTTATACATTGGAAACAATTAGATGAAATTCATATTTTTGATAATTGTATTGGATTTCGGAAGCACAATTACGGGTTCTCTGAAAGAGGAAGTCGGTTAACCGATTGAATCAGTTTAGGTGGATTTGGCTATAAATTTCATTTGGAATGAAGTATGCACTGTTAAATATAATCTGTATAGGATACATTTTTGAATGTAACTGGTTTACCTCCCAGAATCTTTTAATGTATGGACAATGGTATCATTATTATTTATAAAAACAGCCGTTTCAAGTCCAAAATTTCACAACTGCTTTTATCGGTGGGATTCTAACTAAGGGGAACTCAGTGTCTTAGTAATACGACCTCTGAACTATCCAGATCACTGCTAGGTCTACTGTTAGAACTAAATTGATTATTCTACATGATTACTGGTAAACATACAGCATCCCATTGTTGATTACTTGGTGTTAATCGAGTCCGATAGATCCGTTTTTAATGTTACCTAGTTGTCTAAGTCACCAATCAGCTACGCTATATGGGCTGGAGACTAATTTTATGTTAGAGTAATAAACAGAAAATTAGTCCTAACTTATATTTAAAACTATATGTATGCTCTAACTTACTTTCTCACAGACTGGCCTTAGGATTGGATGACTCATTTAAAGCCATCTATCCAATACATCTCCCCATCCAATTTCCAAATCTCAATTCTCAACGCCCACGCTATCTCAACTTTCTTGTTGTCTAAGTTTCATGAACAGTTTTTGTGACCTTGATCTTGTTTCAGCAGGTTTACAATCTATTTAACTGATCTGTACTGGTTAGTTCTTAATTTATGATCCATTTTCGTTTCATTCCTAGCGCAACAAAAACGGCCATTCAAGTACGGTTTAAATTCACTTGGTCTAGAATTTAGAATCTATCATCTTATCACGGATCTAGTAGCTTAGCTAAGTGTGATTTAGCCGCACACATTTTGATCTTAAAGACTCCATGTTAGTGTATGATTGAGTCATCTTATTGATTATAAGATAGTTTAACTGGCTGGGATGATATTATGCTTTGTTTGTTACTTTCGCCTGTGGTCAAGCATTAAGGTAGGGATAGCATTGCAGTTTATTCATCTAAGTTCTTAACAGTTATTCTATGGAGTTGTGCTTGGTTTATCTCCATTTTCCGACAGCTTATTTCTAGTCATGACTTCATGACCGCCTAGCACGTGAATTTGTATTTTGTTACTGAATTCCAATTACTTCTATAATTCTTTCTGAAATCGGTTAACATATTTCGGACATGTTTTTTCTCTCTGGATACAATTATCGATAGTTTTCAATTAACTTAATCCATTTATATTTCTATATTCATTTTACTCCTCCTTCTCCCCCCGTAGCATCAATCAACTGGATTCTTCGATTATTCCCATATTTCCTATTTTTCGTCTTTATCTCATTGATTCTTCAACTGGTTTGGCTATGGAGACGAAAATCTGAAATTATTACATATAAGTTGATAAGTATTGGACGTTCTATAGAGTACTATGAGTTTACTACAGGTGATGCACAAGTATCAAATAACAATAATTCGGATAATAATTCATTTGAAAATACTACAAGTTTAATGTTAGACCCGATTAATAAACCTGTGATTAATATAAAGACTATTGTCACCCGTCGTCCACCGAAATTTATAAATAAAATTAAAGAACGATGTACTACTAATCGTTATGTAACTTCACCAAGTCAACAACAATTTTATAATAGGTTCACACATGAAAAAGATATACAACGTTTAAAAGAATTAGATAAACTATTCTTATCCAATTATCAACTCGAAAAAGATGAACATTATGAGTTCTCACGTAAAAATCTTCAATTAACATGTCGATTAGGTTCAGGTGCTTTTGGTATTGTTTATAGAGGTGTTGCAGAAAATCTACCAAATTGTGTTAACCCTAATGAGAAAATCGATGTTGCTGTTAAAACTTTAAAAGGTTTGTGTTTATTTTTATTTTGTTAAAAATGTTCCCGTGTTTTCTTTCTACTATTGAGGTTGAAAGCGAATCTGGACTACAACTGTGACATATACCATCGATAAAGTAATTCCACCAACGACGGCGATACCACATGGTCTAATTGATATATCTTTTAATTAATAACTCAGATAAATGAAAATTATTACATGGCTAACTAATTGTTAGGTTTGTAGGGGATTTGTTTAACGGACTGATGTCGGTTAGAGTTACTATTGAAAAATAGTGTACACTGGTTTTCCGCCTGATCCTAATGAAATACGCACCGATGACCCGTACCAGAGTTAGAGTGATTTTTATCCGTTAGTAAACTTTTAGTGATGTTTTTTTCTATATCATCTTCATTGAAACCTTCATCAATTTAGTTTGCTGACCAATTACAATCAAGAGAGTTGTATGACAACTAAAATGTCGATGGATAAATGGAATTTTATAGTTAATGGTTGAGAATTTTTTATTTGTTAGACCATCGTTTAAAAGTATCTAGGTATGAAAAGTCGAAGTAATTTCATCTATCAGCATTGAAAAATTCAATTAAATCACTTAAACCTCACTATTACAAAATAGAATATCACGAAAGTAAATTAACTGGAATAATTACCAGTGTAATTCAAAATGTATTTACCCTGTTTAATACATATCAAATAAAAATACCTACATTTCCCTCTTACTATCATTCATTACAACATGTACTCATCACCAATCACTTTATTTATCAGGATTAAGCGTAATCCCATCATTTGTCCAATACTTCTCAGTCTTTAGAATAACATGTAAGCATAAATATGTACATTTTTCACAGTCTACAAATTCGGGCCGAGTGCAGTAACTTCTAATTTTAAGAGTTACCCATTCTCTTTCAAACCGTTTGTTATATCTTAACGAAGAATAAACGAATGGTAACGACTAGTAATTATTTATGGATTGTTATTACATATATTCCTATTGGATAACTATCAAGCATAACTATACTATGTATATTCATATTCCTTTTATTATAAGCTTTAATTTGACCTATCGACTATTATACGATTCATTATTCTTAATTTATCCTCAATCTATTAGTTATTATTATTATTAATATTATTATTAATGGCTTTATTCATAATATTTTTGGTACAATGTAGAATCCTCAACACAAAGTATCTCAACAAGTTTCCTTTTCTTATTTCTTGATCGATTCTGGTGATTATTATTGAGTGATCGCCAGTTATATATAAGCAGTTTCAGGAATCAACATCTGAATAATGTTCATTCTTTTCAATTCAGATTACCGACAACCAGGACGTCGCTGATTGTACTTTCTTATAAATTGTACAGCGAAAGGTCGTAAACTTTCAACAGACGGGCCTGAATAGGCTATGCGAATAGTGGACATGATGTGTTAAAACAAACAGAAACAAATAACTTGTTGAAACATCTAAATAGTAAGAACAGGTAGCCCAGATATTCAAGCAAGCCACCTACCTCACAATCATAGCCACTTTTGACTTGATCTTGTATGACTGTTACTTTTTATTTTATGGCGTGTTTAGGTCTTATTTGCTTGTATATGAATTGCGTATGTCTGAAATGCATGATTCATACGGTGGGAGCTGAAGTTTGTGTTCTGGACTCGAACAGATAGGGCTGGGCGAGAAGGGACACAATAAGGACTCAAAGTTGACCTGAGGCTGTTCATATTGCCTAACGCGTCATTATTTCGGCATAGTGCTACGGTAAAAAATTCACGGTGTTCTAATTAGTGATCTTATCATGTGGTAATAAACAGGCCAAGAGACAACACAATTTATGAGCGCTTTCGCCTTTATATTTGTTTCATTCTGGATTTGTTTTATTTTGAGTTCCTGATACCATAAAACCAATGTACCACCGCATTTGAATCTATGTCTAGATTTGTCATTGATGCTTTAACAAGATTAGAAATAATGGATTGTAAAGTTATATACTAAAGATTCTATGTTCAGAGATATTGAAAGTGTTTCCGATGTACAACACTATAGTCCTATTAAGATTGATTAAAATTACCATGAAATATGTAATTTCAGTAAATCACCTTCAATTTCCACAATTATCCTCTTAAAATATACAATTATTTAAATGCTTTGTAATTTGTTTTACTACATATAGATGATTTCACAGAAGAACATGTGTCTGAATTCTTGATGGAAGTGAATATTATGAAACAGTTGCGTCATAAGCATATCATTGAATTTTATGGAGTTTGTACGGAAAATGGTTAGCCTATATTCTATACGCTCTTCATAATATCAATATTACCTTTTTGTATTACTGAATGTTTCTGTCATTCCATTGATCGTCCGATTGGATGATGACGTTGTTCTAATCGGTTATAAAATTCATCAGCATGTATGTGGATTTAGTAAAAAAGTAGGATAGTTAGAATGTTCATTACATTTAAACTAATTAGTAATGTTAATGCTCTCCAGTATATTCTATTTTTACAGTTGGACCAAGATACTGGTTACATTGGTGTTTTCTAGTAGCTGGATTGTGCAAAAACTGATCACACTGATAATATGGATGAAAAGATATGATGTCCTCACAAAAAGAATACTGACTTCGAACTGCACGTGATAAAATCCTACTTTTCAGCAAATTGATTGACTAAGCTAGCCTTTGTTGACTCATTTTTGTTCTCCCGAAAATGACCATCCGATATTGTCGAGCCTCTTTATGTGTGACACACTGAGAATGCTATTCATGCCCTATATATATACAGTCTAGTGAAACACGGCATACAGACCAAATCGATTAGTGTGAGAAAATGTAGCTGCTTTAGTATTCATATGCTATCCAATCATATGCAAAAAGTATTTTGTTTAGTAAAAGCTGTTTTTCCACATTGCCCACAAATTGTATCTCTCTTGCTAAGCTCATTTAGTCAGAGCTTTTGGTTCAATATTCATTTTATTAAAGCTGCCGAATTTATAGTTACAACAAATCCTGCCACATTTCAGTGACTTCATAACATACCGAATACACGATGCTATTATTGTCTATAAGACATCAGGAACCGGCAATAAATTTATCAGTCTTGACTATCACAACCTAAGGTAACATGAATAAATTACACCTAAATTCTATTAGGAAATTACTGCGTGACTAGCATGAGAAGCAACCACTACTTTGGGACGGATCATCCCAAAGTTTGTACAGGTGATACGTACTAATATTACAGGTTTTACGATATTACCTTAATAATTAGCTATCGACTTTGCTGAATTAAATCAAACCATAAAATCGAAAACTATTGGGAAACAAAAAAATGATTGCTTTGGAATATCTTCAACTCAGTTATATCAGTTATGCATGATCTGAAAGCATTTACAATGAAATTTTTATTGAGCAGCACATTCAGGTTGTGGTATGATATTAGTCTCCCCAGGGTCGATGTCTTTTTTTGTCAAGATTTGTTAGACTATCAAGGTTCTGTTTGTTATGATGACTTTTTATAAGTTTAGATATATATTTTACAGGTTTTGTGCTTTTGCATACAGCTAGTAAATATTAGTGGTTTTATACTCTAGGCTCACCACTTTTAATAATGGAATATGCTCCTTACGGGAATCTCAAAGAGTATCTACGTCGTCATCGGGAAATTTGGTTGAATTGTGACAATTTATCTTTGAAACTCTTAAATTTTGGATGTCAGGTTGCTAATGGTATGAAATATCTGGAGTCAAAGTGTGTAAGTATAATTTGAGCTAAGAGAAAGATTCTGTTGTTCATATTAACATGCAGTTTGAAATTTAAACTATTATAGTTTCCTGTTTAAGCGCGCCTATTAGTTTATGATTGTCATAGCTTTTGTAATGAAAAAAGCTGTACAACTCGCCTGTGAAACACATATGGAGAAATTCGAACACTTCACTTCCATCTGAAGTTTGTGCTGATGATGTCGTTCAGAAGGACGATGAAAGCTCCACGACCAAACCATCCAGCTCAGAGAACAAAACCCCATCAAAAAACAACTCGCCTATATTTATTTTGCAAAGGTTCATTTTTTTTAATTTCTAAGGCAATATTTTCCTAGTATTCACTTTTCCTAGATCGGCTCCTGGTAGACAAATATTCTTATATCAACCGGTGAGTTACGTTATAGGTTCATAGTTCAATGCCTCATAGAGTATCTGGTGATATGTTTCATTTGTAGTTATGTGTTCTATGTGAGTAATGAAATTGTTTGTCTAACTGTAAACTTTTAATGGCCCATTGATCTGACTCCAATATGAAAGGACGTATGAATATGATGTTGCGTCTTTATGGACCGCTAGTTATCACGCAATCTATTCGCCAATCAAAATACGACTTATTCGCTCTTATACTGTACTAAACCAATGACGTCCGACCGGTCTAATCAGCCTAGCGTCCTATTGGTCCGTTGCTCGCCTAGCCCCGTCCAGCTGAGTCCAAAATGCCAACAACAGCCTCCACTATGCGAATCATTTATTTCAGACATACTGGGTTTGTATACCAAACAAACAGACCGCAACGCACCATAAAATAGAAAATAACATTCATACACAATAAAGCCGAAAAGTGGCTGTGAACGTGGGAGACAGTAATTAGTAAACTGAGTATAACTTAGGAACAGTAAATCGTACAATAATAATCTATTAGTCAAAATGAAGCTTATAATAAAGGGAATATAGATATATACAATCTAATTACTGAATAGTTATACCATAAGAATATATAGATAATATTAGTCCATTAATAGGTCTCAGATGTTACTCGTACTTTAATCTTTACTGGGATATAACATATGCCATCACTACATATCTTTCATTTAACTCTGTACATTACACTTAAGCTAACCCCGTTTTTGTGACGGGGTGTAATAAGCACTCAAATATGGGTTTAGTTGGATAGACTTATTTCAGGAACTCGTTCAGACATTAAGAATGAGAGGTGGGAAAGAGAATCATACCGGTAAAGGAAATCGTGTCAACTCCATTTGATAATTCGTGACTCAGTATTTATAGCCAGACAAAAATAGGTTCTCGACATATGGTGAATAGCGAATACATAAGTTCTTATAAAAACAGTCTAGGCTATAAGCGAATGATTCACAAGGTCAAAATGTGACTCAAGAAGAATTAACAAATTGGTCTGTCCGGAAGCAAGAATACCTATGTGGACTTGATATATATTAATAGACACTACAAGCTAATGTTATTTACACTTAAATCCAATTAGGTTGTTACGATCGACCACTGAGTGGTCACCAATGTCACATTTGTCTAGTCCTTTTCAGTCCTGATCGAATTTTCTCGATCAATTTGCAGTGCGGTCACCAATCTGGGCGACTCGACATTGCGTGCACTGTGTTGAGATGGTAATTATTTGGAGGTCGTTGATAAAAAAGTCCTACTTAACGCGTGCTTTGCACGATTTGGGACTCATCAGAAGTGTGTACCAGCAATCTTGACGGAGCTAACTAATCTTTTCAAGTGAACTGCAAAGTTGGATGATGGGATCAAACTCGCCAGGCAGCACCAGTTCCCTAATGATTATAAGCGTACCTTGGTGATGAGTGTCAAATAACACAAAAACCTGGGTCAATCAAAGTTTTCTGTCGACTTTTTCTAACCGCCTAATATTTTGATTTCATTATATTCATCGTTGTTTGTTTTTGTTTTTTTATATCTAAAAAACAGCTTATTCATCGTGATTTAGCTGCTCGTAATATTTTGGTTGGTAAACATTGTCAATTAAAGATTGCTGACTTTGGACTTACAAGATTTGCTGAAAATTATTATCGTAAAGTGAAAAATGTGAGTATCCACCAACCAATGATCTTAAATTAATTGAGATCATGAGCCGACTAGTGTTAGACTATCATTGAGAACCTGGAGGCACTGGACTTCCGTTTCGTACTAGTATAGGACTCTTCAGCAATGCACATCCATGGTCTCTCGCGCCGCACTCGAACTCAGCACTTTCGGTCTCGCCCACAAATGCCTAACCTCCAGACCACTGACCTTGCATCCATTGGTGCTAATATCTAACTTCAACCAATCCATGCTATTGCTCGATCATCTTCTATTGTCTTCGGTGGATAAATGCCTCATATCCGACATGGTTGAACTCCACTGGTTATAACTAAAACTCAACAATCTCCACAACCCTTATCGAAGTTGATATTAACTTATACCACCCATAATACTTAACGTTGATTCATATATACCGGTCAGAAATATCTCACCTACTTATATTGCATAGGTAGTGAGTTGTGAACTTCATAAAATAATCCCTTATTTTCTAATGAAGATTACATTTTTTCAACTATTTCGTGTGACCTAGTAAACATTTCTAACCAGACCAAATTAAATGTCCAGTACTCATTTGCTTCCATTGGTTCTTCAACTGTTGTCACCATATAACCGAAATTCTTGTAGTTTATATAACGAACTAGTCTCAAAAAAGCACTGAACAGCTCTTTTGTTCCCTGGTTTTCAGTGATTGTCCAACTTAGATCAGTCTCCGATATAAACTCGGAAAAATCAACAATCTTGATAAAGCCCCCTATACTAATGAAAGTATTGTCCTAATTACTTGTAATAAACTTCGTTTAGATTAATTTACGCGAGTCGGTCATACTACTTGTTAAAATAGTTTTAAAGTATTTTTTTTCATTCACTCGTTATCTGTTTTGCATGTCGGAATTAACCTGTCATCAAGGTTAACTGCACACATATAATTTGAAAAAAAATGCTACATTGTTGTAATGTGATCAAAGTTTTGTGCTAGATAGTTTCAACGGAAATGTTTTTTTACTAAGAAAATTAAATTTATAATTGTGTCGAGGATATGCTACTTATATCAATTGGAATAGGTGAACACAAATGCTTTTCATATAATGGTAGAGGAGAGAGTTTAGTAAGTTTATTGTTCATCTGATCAAGATGATTGCATGAATGTTTGTGTACGCGTCAGTGTCAATTTATATAAATACGAAACGGTTGTTGACATTATCATTCAGCTTTAGCAATAAGAATAACTATCCAGTCAATCTCAGTCAACTCTTTCTGAGTAGTTGAGTTAGTAAAGAATTTGAGAGTATACGCTAAAAACTGAATTGGGATATAGAATGTAATAGATTATAATGTAGAAAGTAAATTAATTTGTTATTTCAAAATTTAACACTTTTTTTGTTTACGATTTACTTTCAACAGGGTCGTGTTCCTTTAAAGTGGTTAGCTCCGGAATCTCTAGGTGATAAAATCTATACAATTAAGTCGGACGTGTAAGTCATCCAATAAAAACTTTCAAAATTAACTTATTTCTATATTTATATTAGTATTCGTTTACTTAATGAATTTGTTAGTCGAAACAATGATTTTAGCAAACAAAATTATTGGATTAGTAATGAGTATGGATAAGTGACTTGGTGATATCATTAACCTTGACACAAACAGTTATGAATCAAAATGTTGTATTCAGTTAATGGATCAAAGTACTTGTGGGTGAAGTCTGACAACTATATGGTACAACCTATTTCCACTAAACAAGTAAATAACAAACTAATTGTAACGGATTTACCTTGATATTAAATTTTTGAAAGGAATCATTAGAGGTAGGACATACCTGGTTTTATTAAGATCTTTGCCTCTTAGTCATTATGGCTTAATTTTGGTCATAATACAAAATAAATGTTTGCAAAACAAATTCATGCAGTTAGATCTAGAAAGCTAAATTACTTTATCTCAAGCTAATTGATATGTTGTTTTATTAACAAGAAGTGCATAAAAAACTGATGGATTAAAAGTTGAGTATATAAATGTGAGATCAGTCAACAGCATTATTTGTCTGACGAAAGAATCCTTAGAAGTATGTGGATCAATTCGTCGAACTATAATTATTCAAGTTCTGTATTTCTTCATGTTTGATTCCTTTCAATTTCACTAATGATGGATACATACCCAATGTCGAACGAAGTTATAAATATACCTTGACTGTATAAAAATTATACGTACATGGCGTTCGAGTTAATAAAACTAAAAAAACATTGAATATCAGGTATAAATAACGAATAAAAAATCCCCTTCGACATAGTCAAGCGAACATTGATTCCTAAAAAACAGGAAACATGGAAAAATATTGAGAGAAATAGCAGTTACTCATAAGTAATATAATTATATGAAATAGTATAAATATGACACACCGATTCACTTCAGTCTCTACAACTCAGTTATATTACTAGAACCCAGTTAAATTCTGTTGACAAACGGTTTAACTTAGATAACTTATTTATTAGGTTTTTGGTTATTAAAAAAGATTAAATAGTGCTTGAATAAAACTCCGGTTTATATGAATGATACATTTTGTAAGGTTGAGATATAACGAGACTTACAGTTGAGTACAACTAAATAAACGAATTCAGTGCTTTATGAATAGCTTAGCTCTATCCTATGTGACTTGATACTCCTTAAAGCTAATGGAAGGTGAATATTTTCCATCATAAATACTGTTGTTTGAGCTACTACACTCAATGCGATACTGAGAAATTAGATATTTTGTGAAGTATTGCATATTGGCGTACTCGATTCTTATTATTTAATTCTCCAGATTAATTCCATATGACTAATATACTTAGCTGTTGCGTTTGCCCACGGTATAATAGTAAGTCACGACACTAAATAGTCTTACACAAGATTTACTTGGACCAAGGCGAAGAGAGGAGTCAGACTAATTAGCTAGTGAAATGAATGTCAAGTATATTAATGTATGAGTCATTATACATCTATATAAAAATGTCTTGAAGCAAAACTTAGCACCTAGAGCTAGTGGGACAAAGTCATCAGACAAAAATATATAGATGTTCTTATACGTATTTGTGTACACAGTTAAGCGTTCAAATGTACTTATTAGAGTGAATACAAGGTAACCAATAGTATTAAAACTTTACATTTGGTTTTTAGGCCTTTGTCTTTTATCTTTTTAACACCGCCACTATTCAGAAAGATGAGTGTATAGTGTATATGGATAACATATGTGACACCATGCATACTTTATGGGTGGTTTTCGTCACGTATTGACATCAGTTAGGAAATTATTATTATTTAAACACATAAACATTAGTACAAGGCACCGAACATATGTGCGCCACACAAATGATTCAGTTTGCGTGGAATAATGCCCGGGCACCCAAACCAAAGCAGGTGGTTTTCTTAGGGGGCCACACCCCGAGCCCTTGACGTAAGGGTCTAATCCACAAGGCAATCGAACAACGTTAGGAGATGCAGTCCCATGGTAGCCGGTGATCAACAATAGGTTCATATGCCATTTGTTTCCTCAGGATCCTGGAGCCCACGTGCACCATTGCTTTGGAATCACAGTTTTCCAACTCCCCTAGGTGGAACCTCCGTCTCCACCAATTTAGTTAAAGCGCCGGACATTCGCTTTTCGTCCTTTCAGTTTCGCAGATAACAACCCCACCACGAGAAGTCAGTGTCAGTCAGTCATTCAGCTATAACTTAGGACCAGGCACATATATGCATGGATCCAAGTTGCCATACTTCATTAGCACAACAAGATGAACACCAAATTCATAAAAGTGGTTACTTCAATGGTAGTAATATATCAAAGAAAAATTGTCTATGAAAATACAATACAGGAAGAAAGAATTCTTTGGTAGAAATAAAGGTATAAAATAATCTTAATTTCACGGTTTAAGGGAAGACAAAGAGTGTATACACCTAAGCCATTATGATCGATTCTGAGTCATGCCACCAAGAGTCTCCAACCATTAGTTACGATAGTCACGCGAACCCCAACCAAGTAATCGGCATCTACCAACATGCCTCAGACTAGAAGTTAGTGACCTCAAGGACTGATGCCACGTTTTGATTTGGCCGCCCTTAACTTTCCTCCAACCGTCTCCAACACTGGTCAGCATTGAGTGCCGTGGTAGTTGGCGATCGGACATGCGTAACACGTGGCCCAACCATCTCAGTCGATGAAGATTTACAACCTCACCAAATGATTTAGCACTATCCGCCAATACCCTGGCGTCTAACCTCACTATTACTTACCCGGTGATGCTGGCAATATTTCTAAAACATCTGTCATCAAATACTAGTAACTTACGAATATCCTCTATGCTTAATGGCCACATTTCGCAGCCGTAAAGTAGAACAGAACGAACTGCCACACAGTATACTCGTCCTTTTATTGAAAGACGGATATCTGGCCTTCTCCGTAAATGTCGTAAGTTGGCAAAAGCCAAACGAGGTTTTTAAATCCTTGAACGACGAAAATGCAACGACATGTGTCCCTATCCTTTCAAGTTCTTACGGAACCGTTTAGCCGGACAGCACATAAGCGACTGTTAACGGGGATCTACTCTATTAGTGCTTGTTCCACCCTCATGCTTAGTGCTATGCCTACTCCTGCCAGTCCACGAGAGCAAGCCGTCGAGTCACCAGATAAACTGAGGGTGTATATTGTTAGCTCTCCGTTTTGCCGAGGTGAGGTCAAGTGAATGACCACACTAGGATTCTGTATGCGTGTTTCGGAGACACAGCATGCATCAATGGTATGAGATTGTAGGGTTTTAGCCAAGGAAGCCTGCTGACCAATTTGACATAGTGTGCGTACATTGAAGGCTCCAATGTGTAGTTTGTAGCGAGGTTTCAATAGACCTGGGACAGTGTTTTGAGCACTAGAATCGTTGGCTATGGTGACACTTGAAGAGGAATTCAAAAGAGCAAGTTTAGAGTTGACAGTCGACGTAGGAGAAATAGTAGGGATTGAAGAGTGAGTTTGATTATAAATACAGTGATCTTGATTTCTGTTATAGGTATGAGGGCGGTTATCACTTCCAGGCTGCCCACACGTTGGAAGGGTTCTTCTGGAGGTACATGAAAATGAGATTGGATTAAAGGTGGTCATAGTGACCTGAGAGTGTGACCACAGTGCCCAAGGGATAACTGCTTGAGGTCGGTCACACACGGCCTTTTTGTGAGTAATTTTCGTGTTAGCTTTGTACTTGCTGAAACCTTACCGCCAGAGACGGATATCCGTGGGATAAGGTGAGGTGTGCATTTTCAGAGTCGACCTTTCCTAACCCCACCCCTCCTTGTGGGAAGGCGGCATCGCCGTTATGCTGGTTGTCTGAAGGAAACACCTTACTGCTGTCACACCTCTGTACAGTGGGCAGTACGACTTCGCCTTCGGACCTCGGATTTGTTGCTTTTATTCTTAGTGCTCTTCAACCGACCTGTGTGGGATGGTAGGAACCTGAGGAACAATTGTTCCAGCCAATATGACCTGATTGGTTCATTACGATAGGCACGTTCGACCACCATGTTAAGGTAGCAGCAACGATCGGGCGAGAAGGCATCGAGTGGCTGTGTACGCGTGGCCATGTGAGAGCATTTTGAGAGGGAGAGCTGATTCTCCCCCCTCTCGACCGTACCAAGGCATTTGGGGTCCCAGGATACAAAAGGTCGTTTTTTGTCTTATTTGGAAACTTTAACGGTATACACTAGTAATGCCATAAGGATTACATCCCAGGACATTTAGGTCCTGTGGTTAGTGCAATACTATCAAAATCCAGTAGTCTATATTTTGCAACCTTAATCAATTTGCGATCCTCATACACAGTAGCTGATAACCTCGACTTGGCTGAGCTTGTATTTTACATCTTCACATCATAACTTTAAAAATACATTTAAAAGTCATTCGCAAACAGTTATATGAATATTATTTAGTTAGGAATTCTGTAGAGAATCTTACAGCTTTTCGGGTTTGCTTTTGTCACTAACCGACATCAGTTGGAGAGCTAATATGGACATACAGAGAACATTGAGTAATTGTTTCTCCATAGTCTAGAAATCAACAATAGGTTATGAAATCTATAATAAACCTCGGAACGTTAAATTGTCAATGTAAAGTTTTCATGTTTAATTGATAAGGAAAGTTGACTGGAAGTGAAAATTCCTGAACATATATAAACTGATAGTTGGTTAAAACATATACCACAAATTCACTATTTTGTCTGGGATAATAGGGTCACCAAATAGGTCGTCATAATTCAACGATACATCGTATGGTACATATCAGTTCTGGAAAATTAACTCAGTCCAAATGGACAATTATAAGTTTCCTTATGAAAATGATATAAATGTACAATTGATTAGAATGAATTAAAAGTAATTATGCATTATTATGCTACATACACTAAACATTTACAAACTTCTGTTTACTGGAATTGAAATTGTTTTATTGACCACTGTCATTTTTTTATAATTTACTTCCTCTTTTCTGTTCATTTCTTCTACCTGTGCCTAAATGTATAATTTTATGAATTGAATTGGTACATTTATTGTTGTAATGTACTTCTTTTTTCTCTCTATATTTATATATTTCTCTATTTATCTGTCTGTTATCGATCAGTCTAAAATTGTGCAATAGAATTTCATTTTATTATATGATCAAATAAAAGGAAATCAATAATTGAAAACTTTAATGAAACACCCTTCAAAGTTGATCCTAGTTGGTCGGCTGCATTGACTGTGTTATTTTCTTTCAGAAAAAGAAATATTGTGTTTACTTTCTATTCTAGTTCTCTTATCTATTCAAATTTGGTTTCCTTTTCTTTCTTTCCTGTTACATTATTTAACTGACACATAATTATTGTTAAATACTATATGAATTCCATTAGCTTATTGATCTCTTATATACAGAATGTATTATGTATGCACAGAGTTAAGAATGTCATTCTTAAAAGCTTATGATTTGTTAATAGTTGTAATTTGGACTTTTCTAAGTAATTTGTTTCTTCAACAACAACAAAATTCATTATTGTTTATATTTTAGATGGGATTATGATTGACATAAATTGACATAAATAAATAACTATAACAGTCTCTTTGAAGTTGATAGTACAGTAAATGGATCATATAGGAAGTTGTCGCGTAATTCTATATTGATAATTTAGTTAAATCATTGTATTGAAAATAGAAACTGGTCAAATAAAAAGGAGATAACTGGATTTAATATAATTGAAAGTGATCAACAAGAAACTTTGAAATAGCAAATTCAAATCTTATAGAAAGCATTAACTTTCTGATGGTCTGAGATAAATCGTATTGACAAGTGTAAAATGACACGGAACCTAGATACATGACTTTCTTACTGACCGTCTACCTTTAAAAAAACTAAAATTTAAATAAAGCGTACTCTATATCGACTTAAGTAGACTAGTGGTTACATTGAAATTTTGTCAACAGAATTTGATCAACACTAGGAACTAGACATACATGATATTGGCAAATATTCAATGATCAACCAGTATACATAAGTTATTTAAAGCTAAGAAGAAGTTGATCAAGTCGTTTTAACAAATTTTACTAAATAAGTTAGGATTTTTCTGTAACTTGCGTTGAAATCATATCACGATTTCTATATGATTCACATTTCCAGTCAATAATTAATTGTACTTCACCATCACTCAATGTATTTTAGTAAAGTAATCATAAATCACTCATATTGTACCTACCTTGATTTAACCATTATTCATTATTGCGATATTTTAATAAGATAAGTTATCAGTCAGTCATAAACAAGTCGGATTAACAAAGGTAATTCACCTTTTAATATATTTCCATTATAGAAAGATATTTGTTATGAAGGAAAGTGATTTAAAATTGCAGTGATACGATATCATTGACTAATAAAACTATTCATGAGACCGATTCCAAATTCCATTCGAATAAACTGTTATCAAAAGAATAAATAACTAGCCAATAGATAATATTATTATTCTACTAATATACCATTGCTTAAATACAGAATATCAATGACGAAGATAACCATAAGAGGTTATTTGATGAATTGTGGGGAATTGTGAAGCATACAATTTTCATAGGTCACCGAATAACTGTCCAAACCAAATAATACCTCAAAATGGTGTTATTTTTTGTACTTCATTTCTCAGTTCGTGAAACACAAGATTTTTTTGCTCTTAAAACTTAGACAAATTAATATGTTTTTTTCAAAATTTTCCTTTATTAGCTGGTCATTTGGTATACTATTGTGGGAGATATTCACCCTTGGCTCATCACCATATCCAAATATTAATGTAACAGGAATTATACATTCAATTCAATCAGGTGTACGTAATGAAAAACCATTATTAGCATCAAATACAATTTATCAAATTATGTGTAACTGTTGGCAGTTTGATCCAAAAGAACGATTATCATTTTCAGAATTAGTGAATTTATTAGAATTACAAATCAATGAACATGATGATCGTACTGAAATTAGTGAAACAACTTCAGGAATATCAACATATCATGATGATGATAATCATAATAATTATAACAGTGATTTATTAACAAATAATAATGATAAAAATAATAAATTAGATATGAACATTAGTATTACGACTAATGGATATGGTAGTTTTGATTTCTCTGACGATGATCAACAGAGTGATGAATATGTTCATCATCCTATTTTGTCAACAGCATTTACTTCAGTTTACTGTGAAATGAGAGCCTAATAGTTATAATGTACACTGTGGGGTTGGAAGTGAAGAAGCATGAAATGTAGAAGAAAATAAGTGTTATATATGTATACAATTGTGATTATCTGTTATAACTACATTTTTTAAATGTCATCATTCTTGTGTTTATTATTAGTATCATCAGTGTTTCCGACCATTAAATAAAAGCCATTTTTCTCAAATTACATGTTTTTCCCCACTCTTAATAGCATTTCACGTAGAAATTCCTTGTCAGATTGGTCGAATAGACAATCTGTACCATTCGAATTAAGTTTATTAAATATGTTAGGTAAAAAAGTGTGATTTTAAAATTGATTTCATTATCCAGCGCCGTACATGTTCTATCATATCATTTTCCCTATCTTGACAATTCGCAGATCTATGGTTTACGTTAGTTCACCAACGTATTAGGTTTTTTCTAATAGAGCAGTGGCTTGATGGCTAGGGCGTTCAACTTTCCACCACCAAGTCTGTGATTCGAACCCTGTTACAACAGCATTGGTTTGGGCAACCGGATAGAATCATTGGCCCCCATGCCTAGAATTTGTCTCGTATCAGGTGTTTGATGAATAAGTTATTTTGATTTCATTAAAAATTTAGCTATCATGCAACAGATTGCAAAAATGTTTTGTGATTACAGAATTGCAGCCGCACCTTTGTGTATTTATTACTCCAAATAATGAAGTTGTGCAAATAGCTTCCTAAATTTCTTTAGTTCAATATTCATCTGTAGCACAGTATTTAGGAATTGATGTAAACATTATCTGCCCGTTTTAGAATATGGATTGCTTTGTTTTAATTTGCCTACCTCTATCAACATCTCTTTTTATCTCACATAGGTAAAACTGATGATTTAGTAGTAATGGAAATGTGGCCTTTCCAAGTTGTGGCTTCCTAATCTCCAACCTCATCATTAGCATTCATGTATCTTCAATAGTTGATTCGAAGGTCTTCTGTATCGTTGAATTGGTTATCGTGAACATTAGTTACTTGTTCATCTTTTGTCAGTTAATTCGAGTGGACTAAATTCTTGGATCTTAAGCTTTTACCATCATAACAGTTATTTAATAATCTACTTACATAAACTTTCTTGAAAATATTTTGCAATCGATTCATTTAACATTGATTCCTTTCGTTGTAATAACGTTGTACTGTACTGGTTGTATTCGAAAAAACTTATTGAGAACATATTATTTTATTGACTTATCATGTATGCAATGTGTTCTTGAATTGGTTCTCATTAGATCTAAAATAACAGAAATTCACCTTTATTAATGGTTTTGTGAAATATACGAAACTATTACTACTTCTACTGATTAACATGATTAAAGTTAAGTTTTGGCGCCAGTTTAAAAAAATTCGCACTACAAACAATGAATTAATTATCTGTTTATAATATAGTATTGAGTAGAGCGATTATTATCACAAAGCAATTTTTCAAATTCTAAGCAGAGATGGTGGTGGCTAGTAGTGGAATCCAGGACGAGTGTTCCATCCAGTTTGGGACTCGTCAGACGGATGTACCTGCATCCCAGATTTGATGTACGCCTCGGGACTCGAACCCAGTACCATTCCCTCCAAATACCATCGCGTTATGCACTTAGCCGCTGAGTCCTGATAGCCACTAGCTTGTGCAATGAGGCGAAGTTTAATTCATTTTTGTATCGGTTGTTTGAATCTTCCCATTGATGTTTAGGACTGCAATTAATACAGGTACATCCAGCTGACGGGTCCCAAGTGGGACGGAACCCTCGTCCTGGATTCCACTGCTAGCCACCATTATCTCCATTTATAATGCTTGTAACTTAAGGCAATATTGAGGTGATCCTCACAGGATGCACATATATCAATAAGAGACTAACCAATTTTAGTCCTAAACGTCAACAGAATATTCAAATAATCAATACGAAATGAATTTCTTTCAAATGGTTTGCGTCATTGAAATTTAAAACCAAATTGTAAACCACTGGAGTCAGATGTTTAGTCAATGAACTATTTATTCTTTGATCTACCTCCCTTATTATCAGTGTTCATTGTTCAGTTTTAGAAAAAAAATCATGTATTTGTACTTGTATTTTAGAAAATGTTCTTTTGTGAACAATGATGATAATATTTGCTAAAGTATATAAAGAACTGAAAAGTTTACCAATTATTTTCTATATGACCGTCGCTTAATGTATGTTGATTTAACCTTACAGATTCTTGATTTCTCCATGTGATATATGTCACACATCTATGTGTATACACATAGGTATTGAAATACATCTCTCTTTAATGTACTACTAATAATACAAATAATCTATTAACTGTTGAATTCATTTCATAAACTTATACATTATAAAAGAGATTCCATTTTCAGAGGAAAGAATTATTGGTTCAGATAATGTATAACATTTCAGTGTAAATAAGGTGTTAATTATTTCATGATGAAATAATGTGAATGTATAAAGATTATTTTTTATTATAATGTGTGACACATATAGGGAGATTAATTCATTTTGCTAAATTTCTATGTGTACACATGACTACAACAAAATTAAAAAAAGGTCATTTTTGGTAAATAATTTATAGTTGACTTTTCCATTAATTTACTTTAAAAAAAAATTAATAGTGTTTTATGTATTTAAGGAAATTGGAATCTCAGATCTATCTAATTGCACTCTATTAACTACGAGTTGATCAGTACATGAAAACTGGAAAAGACTATGAACACATATGATAGTCGGATGTATGAATAGACAGTTTAATTATGTACAAAGCATTTTTCATTTCATATACAAGTCAGAATAATTCTTTATCATTTTGTGAGAAAAATCAATTCGATTACGTAAAATGGTATTGATTGACGGACTAAATTTATATTTGAAGCTAGAAAGCTTTAGATATGAGAATGTAAGATCTGGTTTGTAGTTGAGTTTCTTACTTCAGTCTATAGAACACTGGGTCACTTGTTGTTGGAGTGACCCAGAAAATTCCTTGCAAAAAGCCACAAGGGTTCCTGAAAACACTGGGAAACATTTTATTCAATCAGCGTTGAATAGGAGTATCTCGGAAATATTTAGGATGTGAAGAGTCACGCGTCACATTTCTGATTGGATGGTTACCCATCCTGTTACTATGCTTAGTAGGGTTAAAGAACTCTTCAAAAGCCCAAGGCCACCTGAAGTGCTATAAATACCTTAAATTTACTGTACATAAACTAACTTTGAAGCGAAGCATTCTTTCCATATTTCGCATCTTTTCTCTCGTGTAGCGTTAGTCTGGTGCTATTTGAAGAGGTTGGAAAACCGATCCAAGCGTTCAGTTAGATGACTCACCATTTGCATTATGGTTAATTTTTTAAAATCTTAACATGATCCAGCTTAATTTTCATTCAGAATTATTACAAGTGGATAGAAATAAATACGACCATGTGAATAACATTTGATTATTTTCATTATTTCTGTAGATTTATTTGTACATAAATTTGGTCAGTAATCCATCATAACAATAGGACATGGTTATTTGGTTTATTGTTTTACTTGTTAACTATATCTCAGAATGAAAAATCAACTTAGTTAAATTTCTTGTTGTAATTAACTACCATTAATTGTTGAGCATCTGTCGATACATCAGTTGAATTGAAAATATATTTAACAGTTGTTTAACTTAAAAGACTTTTAATACCTTTAACCTTTAATTCTTTGTCTCACAAGAAAGTCTACTTCTTTGACAAATTATCTATATTATATTCCATGTTGGTCTATTTTCAACAGACTCATGATCTCAACTGTTGAAATTACTACAATCTCCACAAAACCCCTTCTGATACTAATCGACATATGCTCACTAGTGACTGGCTTCAAGAGGTATATCTTGGAGTCCTAGTGAGAAGCAGTGACCATTCGAGTTCAACCGGGTCAGTTGTGAGATAGTAACTCACTGATGACAATGTTGGATATGTCGCTCAATTTCGTGGACTAGTTGAAGTTAGACATTAACACCGTTGGATGCCGACTCAGTGGTCTAGTTGGTTAAGTACCTGGCGCGAGACTGATATGGCCTGGGTTCGAATCCCGCGAGGTGGGGTCGTGAATGCGCACTTCTGAGGAGTCCCACAATAGGACGAAACGGCCGTCCAGTGCTCCCAGGTTTCCAATGGTGGTTTAGCTTCAACTGACTCATGATCTCAACTGTTGAAATTACTGTAATTTCCACATACCCCCTTCTGATTATATGAATTAGCTCAAACCTCAAAATTTGTTACTTTTATGGAAACAGTTTTAGGTGGAAGACATCCCAAGTATAGATCTTGTGTAAATAACTCAAGGATACTAAAATTACTAGAATAATTAAGATGATAAAACTGGTGTCGGTTTACTTACAATAAAAGATAGAAAGAGAGTACTAAATATCTTCAACCATTGTCACAAGTGTTCTATTTAAAATGAGTAAAATAGCAAATTTCTAAGAAGTAATTGATTGTATTTAGAATTTTCATACCATTTATTTATTGTAATGGTGATGAAATAATATATTGTTCATAATCATGGTGAAAGATATGTAAAACGTAGGATGGAATGTATTAGTTGTATTTATATACAAAGTAAATTCATGAGGAATTTAGGAAAACAAATTATTTGATTTAATAGTCAGTTCTAACCAAGTTATGATCCAGCTTTCCTATCCTCCAACTTAGATTTAGCTCAACTTTCATTCGATCTGTCTTAATTTGTTTGATGGCTACAAATCGATGAATTATTGTGATTTCATTATGTAAGTGAAGTTGTTCTATCTAGTATCTATAATACAATCTGATTCATTGCTCGTTTTAACTATCAGTCTATCCAGGTTTCACTTATTCAAGTACTTATCCCATATTGTTTTGTATTTTAATAGATAATTTATTAATTAACGGAAGTAACTCATGGTGTCATTGAAAAAAATTTAGCTAAGAGAATCTTCTTTTCGATAATATCATTCACCGAAGCTGTACACACATATTAGCCTCACAAAAACGAGAATTTTCTAAACACATCTCCGAACACTATCCTGAGTGACTCTTGAAAGATCTATGTGAAACAATCAACAGTTCAATATCAGAACATCTTGTAGACTTTAGTCACATAGCTCCACCTGATAGTTACTTCAAAATCATCTATACAGTCGAACGATTTAGTTTTAGGGGAGCATTTATAAATACCATGTGCATTTATCTTTTCAAACTTAAGCTCTATGTACAGAAGCGATAAGTGCAAGATATCATTGCTGCATGATTCGAACACCTAATTTTTATGAATGGTAATTTGGTTGTTAATGCATTCTTCTAGTGTTTCTTAATCTTCTCATATCGAATTATTCGTTGTCTCTTTCACGTTTTGAACTTACCCTTCATCCTTTGCAACAATATGATTTTCAAATCACATTTGACTACGATAAATTTTTGTATAAATTGTTATGAAAAAAGTTAACAGTTAAATCTATCAAGTTTTTTGAATCATCGGTTTGTACTTTTACATTCGTTCTGTATGATATCTAAATAGTCTATTTAGTACGTTGTATTTTGTGTACATATGTTAAACTATACATTCATATTTTGATTTTTTTTCTTTTCAGGCGTTTATTGTTTGACCTAGTTTTCTTTTTTTTTGTTGCTTATTCCTTCATACTGATAAACACATCGTTTTATTCTTTTAGAACCTCTGAACTAGAAAAAGTGGTTGAATTCATGGGCGGAAAGTTTGTACAATTTGAATATTCTCAAAGAGGTTATCAATAAGCTTGACTTCTGTTGTCGTTACGTTAATGATACTTTCATTGTCAATCAGAACATTGGAAAAGAAGAACTCGTAGAGTTATTTAACAATAAACATACAGCAGTCGTGTGAAGAGGAACTTGATAATAAACTACATTTCCTTGACGTTTTGTTAAACAGAAAAGAAAGTGTAGGTATCATTACCAAGGTTTGACTTAATAATTTCGAATAAATTGAGCATTGGGTAGATTTTTATAAATAAATTGATATATTTGTAATATCCCAATGAATAGAAAGATTAAATTTGCTGACGTTTGGATTCAATTAAATTTTGATTTGGTTATTTATTCTCTGAAGAAGTGGTTTACATTGAGTCAAGGAAAGAAAATGGTTCTATAAGTAGAAGTGTGTACAGTGAAAGTTCTTCACTGAGCCGGTACACCCATTTCTTGAACTTTGTACCCATTCGTTATTGGAGAAACCTAGTTAGATGTCTTGCAAAAAGAGCTAGGAAGATGTGCTCAGACGATATTATAAACAAGGAACTAGAGCTTGTACATAATATGTTGGCTGGAATGGGTTGTCCACAAGGTTGTTTGAAGAAACACGTGAATGTAACAAAGAGGAAAATAGCGACATCAACGGCTCGTAGTAAACCCCTCTTCCTGAAGCTGCAATTCAAAGGAGGTGTAGCTGGTGATGTGCTACGGGATAAACTTACTAGAGTAGTTAAGAGAACGTTTAATGCAACTAACCTCTGTCTATCGTTCTCGACCCGATCTATGGTGATTCCTCAACTAAAGGATAAGTTACATGGCCCTGTCACATTTATGTGTATCTACGAATTTATCTGCTCCTGTGGAGAAAGCTATATTGGGAGCACAACCAGACAACTGAGCCAACGAGTTAGTGAACATCTCCCTTCGTGGTAAGGAAAGGATACCGTCAGAACAGTACGCAGCTCCATTCTATCACACTTGGTCGATAGCAGTCATGTAGACGACAGAAATAGATCATTTAAAGTTATTTATCGAATTTTTACTAGTTTTCCTTATGCGGTTCGAACGCGTCTCTTACAAATAACAGAAGCTATATGAATGCAAGCTAACAATTCAAGTCATTGTATTCATAGAAAATTTGTAACACCTTTTTCTCTTCCTTGGCCCTAATAAATGATTTTATTTATTATTATTTTCCATACTCTGTTAACTCCGCCTGGAGTCCCTCCGGGGGTTACTACCGGTCCCGAGCCCGGATAAAGGAGGAGGGTTTGTCATGGGTTTAGCGACCCTATCCCGCAGAAAATTAACTAGCTAAAAAAACGCTAACCAGAAAAATACTCTTTGTTCATTTATTTTTTCCGCTCCCTCCCACCTACTTTTCTCCAAAATATAAGCTTCATTGTCCAATTATCCGAGCATTTCTTATTACATGATCTTATAGTTTTTATGAATGTTATCTCAGCATCTATATTTTTCAAATCATTGACCTAGTTCCCACTATGAAACACGGTACAAGCCTTTATTATTCTTATCACAACCAGTATACCTGTCATCACACTATCAATTTGTACTCTTTAATTATTATGTTTATTTATGTAATCTATTCCACTGTTATCACTGAATCATAAACTACCTTGATTGATTTCGTATATGCATATAAATATTACCCTAAATTAGAGTAAAGCCTGATGAGGATATAATCAAAAACAATATTGTTCGCTTATATATTCTATTCGTTGATTGTTTGTAGATATTTTCTACACAAGACTGTTGACTATGGTTGGTCTATAAACTCATAGGTTGTGATAAATTTGATGATGATCATAAAAGAATTCTTGTTCTGATGTCTATTCAACATAGTAAGCAGGAGAACATCAATAGGATAATTTGCTTAGTAAATATTTTGTGTTTTCATGTAAACTTCACATATTCATTAGCTAAAAGACTCAATTAAAGAACTTAAAAGAATGGTAGTCACATCATAATTGAACTTCTATAGGAATGGAAGGTGTTTATAAATTAGATCCTGTTATGAAAATGAATGGACTGTTAAGGTCGTAAGTATTTCTTTTTGAAGTTGCTTCAGTTTATTACTATTTTAGTTAATTACTGGCCTGTTTTTGATTCAGTAGTTTTAGATTCATGGAAATCTGGAAACCGGTTAGGAGGTTAGTGTTTCAAGCGTACAGTGTATGGAACATAATAAACTTATGTAATCATGTTGTATCATTTTAATGACAATTTAAAGATTCCAAAATTCACATCTCATAAAAATAACTTACTGAGACAAGGGATACTGATAAACTAATTAGTAATTTGGACCGAATTTGACTCCTACAGAATGTGTTGTTAGATGGTCAACAGACTAATGTTTTGCTTTACATTACCAAACGAATTTTACTTTATTGTTATTATCAACTTATTACCAGATACAAATTCACGTACTTGGCCTTGAATACTACCAAACCGCCTAAAGTTTCATGTCAAATAGTTTGAATGATCATAACAAATGATGATGTTTAAACTGTACTACAGTGCAGTACTTTATCATTTGAAAAAAGCTGATAAGAACTGTTCTGTACAACTTTAATCACCAAAACGAAAGGTTACTAAAGATTTGAAATTTTAAAATAATCAGGCGGTTTTTGTTCATTCAAGATTAAAGACTTGATATATGCAATTAGGTGTAAAAATTGCAGTAACTTTTAAGTTTGAATTGTGATCTATCTAGAACACTTCAACCCCAGAAATAATGTCGTTTTCTTCTCCGGAACCCGATAAACATCCAAACAATTGATAAGACTTTAAGAAAAAGTAAAGTTTGTCACTTGTAGTTTTCGACCTGAAATTCATATTTCATAAAACTTTCCATTACATATAGAGATAATAACTATGTATGACTGACATCTGTTTATCTCCTAACAAAAGTATACTATGCTTGTAGAGATTTTATGTACTTTGAATTCAGTTTTCATCACGAACATACATTAGTTGGAGAGCTTTTAAAAAGCTAGGAACACTAGACAACTCTCTCATTCACGTCTACATCTCAGAACTGAACATCCAAAACGCCACACGGAGTCAAATACATGATCTTTAGGTCAGCACTATATGATTAGGAAAATGGTTTCAAACCGAAGAGTTTATGTTTTCTAACGTGAGCTCATAGACGTATATTACTGAGAAACCCAGAATTCTCAGATATTCACTGGTTCTCTAACGAATGAAAATTACTTTCGAATTAAAGAATGTACTCAACCAGTTGATGTTACGAATTGATGAAATCGTGTTAGTGATACAATGACAATATAGACTTTAGTGATTGAGTTGAAATTTAGTAGATATTAGCAACTTGATTGTTTATTTAGAAAGTAGTACATGACACAGATAACATTTAGTCCGATCATTCGAATCTGACTGCAGTTCAGGCATTTCTTGGATTTTCGTAATCAACGACAAGAAAATATCTAATTTTATTAAAATAAATGATATCCTAGATAACTGAATACTACTTAGTTACTGAAACTATAAAAATGAAACGAAATCATGACAAATTGTTTTACTTTTACTAAAAATATTCAAAATGCATACTAAAAATACTAATAATGTTATTTCTATATGAAAGGTAAGCTAATCTGAAACTTAATTTATAAATTTCACACAAAAGTTGAATGATTGGGTTGAAACGATGGACAGTCATCAATATATCAGTGTTTGTGCAAAAATATAAGGGTCAATTTTCTAAATTTTTTCAAGAAAAACTAAAGGATTCAACCATTTCAAAGGACAGTACACAAATATATGCTGATTTTCCTGACTAGCGTGATATAACAACCATCTAATTCCATTTTCAATACAATTAAAATACTTCTGGGAAAACCAACACTGAACGGTAGATAACGCAGGTCACCGTCATTCAATTCTTTAAAATTATTAAGATTATTTATTCAACCAAATAGTGCGACTGCATTCGCATGTATGAGACAGAAAGGTTTTTGATTTCTAGTATGAAATGGTTTACCTTCAAGGGGTTTTTGACATGCAGCACAACTAAAACATCTTGCATGATATTGTTTTCCACAAGCTTGAATAAAACGGTCGATCTCTGAAATGGATTGTTTACACTTCGCACATTCGATCTCATGAAATTGTTTCCAATGTTCTTCACATAATACACGATTATCATCTTCTACATGAAATATATCATCTAATGGTTTTTGACAGTAATAACAAATGAAACAATATGGATGCCATGTTCGATTTATTGCTTTGATAATTTGACCAATAATTGGTAAATTACACTTGGTGCATTTATAAGCAATATATTGTTTAAAATCTTCTTCACAGTATAATTTTCCATTCTGTTCAGCAAAACCGTCTTCGTTTAGTGGTCGATGACAATAATCACATATGAAATGATTTGGACAAAAGCATCTGTCATTCGTATCGATAAATGGTCCGTGTATTTGTTGTTGACATACATGACATATAGGATTAATTTTAAAATCTTTTGAACGTATCACTCCTCTTAGTAAAGAATTATCTGGTTTTGCGTTAATTTTGATATTAGGCTGTGGTTGATTCATCGTACTATATTTACACAGATTATATGATGATGAATAACATGACTTTAAACTTATATTATTTTGTGGTGTGTAAATTGGTGATGTACGATTTGAATCTAGTTTTTCAGCCAATATCCGATTATGTAGTGTAGTTGAGTTTGGACTGTATGATCTTATTGTTATTCCATTAGGTGAATGAGAACGAGTTATTATTGGATTTGTACCAATATGAACAAGTTTAGATATAACTGTTTGCGGTTTTAGTGGTTCTGTTGGTTTATGAAGTTCAATACTTAGTGATGATTGTGTTATAGACATGTTCATTTGATGAAGTGGTGTAGAATAGCCAGAATTATTTAAACCAGTATCATAGACCTCCATTTCCAGATCATTGCAGCAACGTATAATTGCTTGAATAGCTTGTTGGTGAGTCATTTTGCTAGTAGGATCACCGCCAATAGATAAAACACGCATTCCAGTACGTAAGCCACTGATATCTGCCAGACTTCCAAGACTCACAGAAGATATAATAAGTGGTTGATCAAAATCTCTTCCCCCTCGAATACAGAATCCCCAAGGTGAAGCAGAATCAGGTCTTGAAATGCGTATAAAAAATGACATTATATTAACAAAATCTAAAAATAGTTAAAGCTGACAATAATTAATATTGTGAAAAAATTCCCGGTTTTTCTTCTTTTTATATTGCCTAACTCAGATGATGAAGTGTGGGTGTGTGTATGTTTCTATTATACTTTTCCACAAGGTCATTTGTATGTGGACCAAATTTCTGGCTACCAATCACCTTAAATGGTGACAGTTTCAGTTTCTGTGATTGGTTTAGAAATAGTTATCGGCACATACTTTGAAGTGAATTTCACTTAATAATACTACGCTATACTTGTTCCTAAATTCAGTTACTTTCTTCAAATTTCATCATTTGATGAGTATGAAATAAACAATCATGAAAAAGTGAAACTTAACACATTTGATCACAACTGTTGGAAAACACGAAAAGCGGTGGTAGGTATGAACACTAGTTGCGAGCAGTTACAAAGTATTTACATAATACATATACATGGCCTTTAATCGTCCATTTGAATCTTCCAGTGTGTTTCGCAATCTGAACCGTCTTCTCGATTGGCCTCCAGGTGTTCTACCAATGCTGTGCTTTTGATACACTGAAACTGTTGCAATTTCATATCCGCGTTCCGCTACATAATACTTATAAATATCCACTGCATTGTTTGAAATTTACAATTATTTAAAATCCATAAAACATGGTTATATAGGTAAAACTACCAACAAACCTAATTATAGTTTCATTCAGTGATCTACAAAGAAAATCATATTGGAATAGCTTGAAAATTTATTCAAATATGACAAATCATACTATGGAGGTCTGGAAAAGTGGTAAGCATTAAACTATCTCTTTGAATAATAGTAGTGTTAAAATTATTCTTTCCAATTTATATATAGAATCTAGAACAGAGTTGACTCAAAAGGTGAAGTCATCAACTACTTTTTTAATTTGTATCACAGACACTAAGATAATTTAAATCTCATTTTAAAATCTCGCATACTTTCAAGTATTAAAAACGTTAAACAGCTTCATCTGGCTTCTTTAGAGATATTCCTTGCTGTATTTTCAGGTATTCTCGAGAGGACTCAAAGTTCTGTATAGCACGCATACCAAACTTACAGTATCACAACTTTTTGAGATTAATTCTAGACTGTGAAGTCATATGACGCGATAAGTTGATGATATGTAAGTCAAAACGTTTTGCATCAGTTCAATATAAACATTTTCTAGAATTAAAAGTGTGAACTTTTGATATGACGGGATGAAAAAGTAAATTACATTTCTAACTCATTATTATTCTGGCTCAACATTACTTCCAAATTTAATTCACTATGGTGATTATTCAGTGTAACACTTGTTTTATTTTCAGTGTGATATTTTATTTAATATAACTTTGATTTGTTTCAGTGTGGTGTTTGTTTAAGATATGATATTCTTTGTATTAAATTGATATGAATTATGTTCAGCATGATATGCAGCATGCGGTTTGTCATAATTCTGGGCTTTATTATGGTATGTAACTTTTCCCTAATTAATAATCAAGTGCATGTACAAATCTATATATAGATGAGTGTATTTTATACTGAGGTCATCGTAGTGTTTTTTGGGTGGATAGGTGTGGTGTTTGAATGAACTAGTGATTCCTTTGTACTTGTTGAATGCTTGATTTTGAGTTCCGAATATAGTACATTCATTCGTGCTTATCTAGTACTTCTTGATCCAATTACGTTATTTCTGGGATTCTTAGTTCGTACTATAATTCAAATACTTCTAATCATCATAACAGGTCTTCGTTAGTACTAGTCTTCCGTGTTCTTACTTTGGGTCGTGAGAATTGTAATTGTTGTTTGTTTCAAGAATAAGTAATAAGCGACACGGATGTAACTTTCACTTATTGACAATTACAATCCTGTTATCAATTCAGGCGAACTGTATTCAGTATGCGTTTTTACAGCAACACTACATATGTGTTATTATAATGTGTAAAAATCAGTGTGTGAATGGTTGTATTTTGGTCTCATGATAGTGTGACTTTAAGAGTTTTGTTTTCGGTAAGGCGATGAATCTTGACTGCACAAGTCTTTCATGTTCTGACTTTGAATTGTGGGAATTCCAGCGATTCCCGTTTCAAAGTATAAGCAGTAAGAATGCCAATATAACAGTGCGGCACATGATACATAAGAGAAGGCTCCTCGACTTCATAATGGGGGCCGCACAGTTTGACAGTGGTGATGATCCCAGATAAGACAGGGTCGACTAATACACTTCAGGAAAACTGAGAGCTCCTCATGGTCCGCTTAATTTCTACAGCCCGGAGGTGAAGGTGTGGCAGAAATTACATTCACTGTCATGTGGGGCTTCCGAAACGCTTCTGTCAAAATGAACAACAACTTGCTTATTAGTAATATTGAATGCCCTTCGGTATAGTTTATCATGTCCCGCTACTATAAAATGATTCAAGTGCTTTTAAGTTAAAGAGATCTACTGGTGTTCCAAGCTTAAACTTGTTCAAATGAAGTGTTAGTTCTTGATACTGAGCTTTCCAATGCCTTTCAGTTATGATTTCAACATGTTAAGCTCGGCTTGCTTGTTTACTAACTATTTAATACCCAAGAAAGTCACAAAACAAAAGGTTATTGGGCGGTAGGTACATATTTCTTGCATTCATCAAGGACTTATGCTCTAAAATTACATTAATCAATATCGAATATCTTTATAATTAGCCGGTGTTAGTCAAATTATTTCTTTTCACTAACTCCTTGTTTTGCTTCCAGGTCTTCAGTAAAATCCTATGGGATAGCCTAACCTTTGGACTGCACTAGTTATAGTCAACTCGATAGTTATTTGTCGGTTTGTGTATCTTTTTAGATGAAGGCAGGAATGAGTCACTCCGCTAAGTTTAATTACAAACTATCAGACAAGCTATTAACAATGGATTTCTGAAGTTAGACCTTTTACTATCACAGACGCACAGAATTCAATGATAATCTTATATCATCTATATGTTAGGATAGCCGTTTTAAAAAACTCTTTAACATATTGCATTACCTAGCATTTCGGATATTTTCCCTTTGATTTATTGGGTAAGTGTCGGGTATAAAGGCATGGAATCCATTCTTAATTTCGATAAACGTACATCTTTAAATACGATGCTGAAGTGCATCACATCCTATCATCTACAGCATGATTTTAGGAAAGAAGTCAATGTAAGGTCCATTAAAACATTAGTAACAGAAAGTAGCGTTTGGAACTAGACTGCATCATGTATTATGACGCTAGCAACCTCGTTTCTGTTAGGCAACGGAATAAAGCTCTGAACACTTATTAGTTACAACGGGACCCCACGAGTACTTTGCTAATGACGCTGAGATAATCCAATGAAAATAAAATATAAACCCATGTAATATCGGTCACAGTGGACCTGATGATTATAGTGGTTGAGGTATTTCTTTGAATCCCTGGTGTTATATCTCTTTTCTTTATGTATTGTAAGAAGGTTGTCGTGGTAAGACTTATTTACTATCATTACTGCGTCAATGACTAATTCTTAGGTTATCCAGGACATACTAAGATTCTTGGGGTTCTGAACGCAACTCAGGTCAATAGTTAACACTTAGTTGTGGTCGTTGAAACAGAACAGATGACTAGACTTAATATAGTAGCTTTTCATTTGATAACAATAAGCAAACATTCTACTAGTACTGTTCAGTATCAGTGTAAGGAAACAGTGCTACAATAGACTGACTCGCTACAGTGAAAGAGAATTCTAGTACGTGTTTATTTGTAAGAAAAGCTCTTATTTATCCATTTTAGTTGTACTACATTTCTTTGTTTATCTTTGTGCGTAATATATATATTTTTGACCCTTTATTTACCTATATTACGTCAGTATTTTGTTTAGAGCTGTTGTGATATTTTGAAGTATTTGAACTATAATATAAACCAGGAATCTGTGGCGTTTGAACGAACTAATAATACCCTTGTACTTGTTGAGTGCTCGATTTCGAATTCCAAATACAATACATTCGTTTGTGCTTGTGTCTTACTTCTTAATTCAATTGCGTTATTTCTGGTACTCTTAGTTCGTGCTATAATTCAAATAATTCAAAACATTATACTGGCGTCGCGATGGAGCCTGTAATGGAAAAGTTAGATATTCATTCAACTTCGGAAGCTTTTGAAGATTACTTTGAAAGGTTCGAAATCTGGGCTATGACCAAGGAAGATGATGAGGATGGTAATATTGTGGCACACTTCCTCACATTCATTGGAAAAGAAGCATACAGCTTATTAAGAACACAGGCTATGCCGGAAAAGCCCATTTCGCTTCCTTATACAGCTCTCAAGGAACTGCTGCTAGATTATGTTCAGTATACAAATTTCGAATGTCGTAAAGGAGGAAGATTTCGTAAAATGATTCATGAGGATATAAAAAATTCCACTACATTACGTCATCCCAACCCAGTTCATACTCAAGATTATGCAGACTATTCATTGAGGAGTTGCAATGCATTTCACGAAGATGGGCACAAGTTTAGTCAGTGTTTGTCCTGTGGCAAGTTCCACTCTTTTAATTCATGTAAATTTCGTAATTCTAAGTGCTTTAAATGTGGTGATATTAGACATATTCAGTCAGTCTTTAATACTAATGTTCATCTTATTGCAACTAATATTAAGACTTGTAATTCTGATTCTACTGAGTCGAGTATTTATAATGATGATTTATCTTTATCAACGATTGCAATAGACAATGTAGAGTCACAAAGTAGTTCAGAGTTAAATTAAATCCAGAATTCTTGCGAAACAACAGTTTCTAACCAATCGGTTTATCAGAATTCTCCTGCTATTGTGCCAGGTATGGCTTTTCCTAATGATTCATATATTTCTGATGAAATTTCTTACAAATCTGAAGAAAATATGTTGAGTGAACATAATTATGATCGAAAACCTGATGTAGTTTTGATGGATGCTGATTTTTCTAATGATCCGTTACTGTGCAATGACATTCTTAATAAATTCCATGAAAATGTGTCAGAAGAATCAAATTCTGATGTCAAATCATATATTACCTATCTTCATAATGCATTTGATCTTTGTGAAATACTTGTTCAATGCAAAGCACAAGTACTAAATGACCTCGATTTTGATTACAATTCGGATGTTTTCACATCAACTGCTGTTTACCCTGTAGCGGTAAATAAATCCCCAAAATAAATAGCACTAAGTTTTCGACATTGGATGCTGACCATATGTTTTAGTGGACTCATTTAGCTGAAGGCGCTCGGTCAGGCATCCGTACCAGATCACGTGTGGTAACGCCGTGCTCAACATCAACCGCAATCGCTAGCCAGATTAGATCAGAGAATTCCGATATATTGGTCATCGCCAAATATACTCTTCCGATCTCCTCGACTCTGTCTTTTGATTTCTCTGGGCGGGAACGAAATATATTAGAAGGTGTTACTGGTAGAAGCGTTGTCAAACACTGAATACCTGTGACATCATCATTGGTGAGACCGACGTGATCTGGTACACCTAATTGCAACTGTGAGTCTGTTCCTTTTTGGGATTTTTATATATCATTGCCTTAATTTTTTAACTTTTTTAAACATTGTGATTTTTTTTCGTGTTTTTTCCTGGATATATATTTTCCCCTCGTTCATTATCGTACTTCATACTTCATCATGACTGAACAGACACCTAAAGTACTCAAGCTTAAGACTTTGTCCCCGCCTTCGTTTCAACTGATGCCTTTCTGGCCCGACAACATCGAAGCCCGGTTTTGCTACGCAGAAGCCGACTTCTCCGAGCACGGCGTGATCGACACACGTGCACAATTCCTCGCAGTAGTCAAGGCACTACCGCGCGAATTCAACAGGTACGTAACACCTAGTATGTTTACTAGTGATGTTTCCGATCCTTACGAAATCTTAAAACGCTCGATTCTTAAACGAGGAGACCTAACCGATCGACAAAGGTTAGATCAACTCTTCAACAATATCGACCTGCAACACGGTTCTGCGACGGACATGTTGCAACGGATGAGAGAGGTAATAGGCCCAAGAACTTTCGACGAAGGCCTATTCAAACAACTCTTCTTGTCAAAACTTCCCCAACAGGTGCAAGCAGTTCTGGTCTCGTTCCAGAACAACGCCTTAGACGAACTAGCTGCATCTGCCGACCGCATTTTAGAAATTACGAAACCTACAACCGAGGTATTTTCAGTCAAAGAAAAACCTCAAACGACTCAGAATGATATAAACGACTTATGTCACACACTCACGCGTTATCTTAGTCTTCGTACCGACCGTGAGAGATCGCGCACACCACGTAGAAGCATTTCTCGTAAGCGATCTGTCTCTAGACCACGAGAGACAGATAACCCCGACTGGTGCTGGTATCATAACCAGTATGGAAA